GTAGTGCTTGGCTTATAAATTATCAAATTTGTATCAAAAATATTTTTAAAAACTTACAAATATGTCTCCTGAAAGTCAGTGTTTTTAAAATTTCTGTATAATCTATTATTATTATTATTATGAGATGGGCTGGCTTTTTTTCTGATACATTCTGTATTCTCACTGGGGCAGGAAGCATTCTGAGAAAAATAAATTGTCAAGAAATCATTTTGTTATCAAATCGCTATTATTTTCATAACTTCAAGATTACCAGGCAAATGCACCTTTTTGACAAATTCAAAAATTCCAACAATATGGCGTGAATTGTAACAAAAACAAACTGAACGCTCTTGATTGTACTAAGAATGTAATGCTGTGAGAAAAATTAGTGATTTTTTTCCAATTTGTTCCTGACATTTTTTGTGTACTGCTAAGATTAATTTTGGTGCCAACTAGGCCCAGGGTGCAAATTACTGTCTATTTTTCTGGACCAGGCACAGGTGCCTTGCAGTGTGTAACCCCTGGCAGAGGGAGCTACTGACTGTGAGCGATGCGGTGGTTTGTTTAGATTAGATAGGGGTGGATATCCTATACCAGGGTGGCAGATTATATACAGAAAAATGGGAAAATCCTAGAGATAGTAAAATGACCTTCTATTTATCTAAAGTGATAGCTAAATGACCGTCTAATTATCTAAAGACATATATGTGAATATCATGTGAAAAGTCAACCTGTGGCCCTGGTAGAGAGTAGGGGGTGAACATGTTCAATTACTGTTGGTAAGAAAAGTAGATTTTCAACAGTATGTTTTTGTGACTTAAGGAGTTATGTCAGTGTGTCTGCTGTCCATGGGGATAGGAAATGTTTCATCAAATTATTTTGTTCATGCAGTTTTGCAGGCTTTTCATAGTGCGTCCATCAATGGGAAATTATTTGGTTTCAAAATTGATAAAGCCATGTATGTCTTAATGTGTATACTGTTTCAAATTTCAGGTACCTTAGACCTGCAGAAATGTTGGTAATAGCTGGTGTCTAGCATCAACTATCTTGATAGATATCCAGAACTAACAGACTGAAGGTATGTCATTTACAAACTGATATATAGTCTAAATGTCATTATATGTTTACTTTCAGAATATATACATTTTAATTAGTTCATTAATTTGCTCAAAGTATAAATTATCTGTTAACCACCCCAAATTCTGATCACATACTTTTGTGATGCAATGAAATGACTTTAATATATAACATTCATCCGAGAAAATTTTAATGACAATTTCATTTATGTACCCCATCGTTCCAACTTTTTTTCGGTCTAATCTCTTTTTTTTTCAGATATCCTGCGTTTTGTCCAAATGCACATTAAATGTGCACAAAGTAATAGAGATAATGCCTAATGAAGAAAAATGTACATTAAGTTAAGCCTCGGTCACAACCGGCCGTACGGGCTCTTACGGGCTGTTTGCGTCCACATTTTGCGCAGAATCTCACGTCCCACGCAAGTCCTTCTTACGCAATTTCGAGTTCGCAGACAGCCCGTAAGCACGTACGGAGGATGTTGGACATGTCCAAAAGATTCTACCCTGTACGAATAGCCTGCGAACAGCGAGGCCGCAAGCGTAACTTGCTCCTTTTGCACGGAGTTAGCAAGAGAGACGCGCGTTGTGCAAGACGCACGTCGCAAACAATGAAGGAGCAAGTGCCCTTTGCGTGTTGAGTAAAGCCTCGGTCACAACCGGCCGTACGGGCTCTTACGTCCTAGACGGACACAAGGAACCTAAAAACCGTGCGTCCAAAACGTAGTTGGGACCTTGGCTTTACGAAATTTCAAATTCGCAGACAGCCCGTAAGCACGTGCGGAGGATGTTGGACATGTCAAAAAGATTCTACGAATAGGCTGCGAACAGCGTGGCCGCAAGCGTAACTTGCTCCCCTCGCACGGAGTTAGCAAGAGAGACGCGCGTTGTGCAAGACGCACGTCGCAAGCAATGAAGGAGCAAGTGCCCTTTGCGTGTTGAGTAAGGCGCACGACCTCACAACTAACGAACAAAGTCGAGAGCACGCTCGTGTCTTTACAATGAACGTCGACTGTGTAACGTGTAGAACCATTTTCAAAAATTTAGAATTTTTGCACAATTTAGTTTCTAATATACCTCCAAAAGGCAAGAGAAAGAAGCTTGCATAGTAGAAAAAAAGGGAGGAGGAAGAAGAAAGAAGAAGAGAACAGGAAGCAAAATTGATGTACGCCGTCAGTTCGTCACCACAAACGTGTGAGGCAAGTGTGAAGCAAAACTGACGCAAAAGGGACTACTTTCGCCTTGCGTTGCATTCCCTTCGTAAGTGGTGAGTGTGTGCCACTTACACAGGAAGCAAGGCAAACTCAAAAAATGAGTACAAATTCCACGGCCATCGCTCTTTGCAATTAGCGTCCCTGCTTGAAAGGACATCTCATGTGGCCCTTGCGATTCGCAAGGCAGACTTTCCTCTACCTCTACGACCTCCACGGCCTCCGCAACACCCAAAAATCACAGAGGACGTTCGATCCTAAAATTCGTGCGTCCGGTTGTGACCGAGGCTTAAGGCGCACGCCCTCACAACTAACGAACAAAATCGAGAACATACCGGGAATGCGTCGCACGTGCGTCACCCCCACGCCTGGTGTATTAAAGGCGTGCTCACGACGCACGCTCTTGTCTTTACAATGAACGTCGACTGTGTTACGTGTACAGCAATTTTCAAAATTTTCATTTTACTTTCTAATATGCCTCCAAAAGGCAATAGAAAGAAGCTTACATAGTAGAAAAAAGGGAAGAGGAAGAAGACAGAAGAGGAGAACAGGAAACAAAACTGACATACGCCGTCAGAACGTCACCACAAACGTGTGAGGCAAGTGTGAAGCAAAACTGACGGGAAAAGGCACTACTTTCGCCGTGCGTTGCATTCCCTTCGTAAGTGGTGAGTGTGTGCCACGCACACAGGAAGCAAGACAAACTCAAGAAATGAGTACAATTTCCACGGCCATCGCTCTTTGCAATTAGCGTCCCTGCTCGAAAGGACATCTCATGTGACCCTTGCGACTCGCAAGGCAGGCTTTCCTCTACCTCTACGAACTCCACGGCCTCCGCAACACCCAAAAATCGCAGCTTGTATGTTTAAATGTTCACGTCTTTTGTCAAGTGAAAAGAACTGCTGCTATTTTAATTTAATACATGTAATATTTTTACATTACATTTCCAGTTTGTCCATCTTAGAAAGAAATAGTGACAAAATTTTTTTATTTTGGCAACAAAAACCCCATTTCCACTACTGTACCTGGAGCCTGCTGTAGTCGTGGGCTACAGAGTACGACGAGACGGCTGCCAGGAGACAGCTGTCATTATGGGCTGCTGGGTGCACTCCTTAGATGAGGGCTGGTGAAAAACGGCTGCCTGGAGACAGCTGTCATTATGGGCTGCTGGGTGCGACCCTGAGATGAGGTCTTGTGAGAGAACGGCTGCCTGGAGACAGCTGTCATTATGGGCTGCCGGGTGCGATCCTGAGATGAGGTCTTGTGAGAGAACGGCTGCCAGGAGACAGCTGTCATCCAGCAATGTGTTGATTATGTCAGTGGCTAAGGAAACGCACTGGATTAGTTCTGAATTTGCTACACAGGGACTGGTAGTGTTTGAAGGTCATGGCATAGTTCCACGGTAGAACTGTATCTACATGTTTCAATAGCATTGGAACCAAATGACGTCCAGATTCACAGGTGTTTCTGGTCAAGCTGGTACTGAGCATGCCTGTCCTCAATGGAAGAAGCTGCATTGCTGAGGGTGACAAACTTCCCGAGAAACATCATGTAGCGTTGCGTGATGTCCATTGTTGCAATTGTTGCTGCTGCTCTGCAGAGCCCGGCGAGGTACATTTAGATGCAATATGTACTACTCGTAGACAATTCCTGCAAAGACAGCGAGTATTGATGCACTAAAATCTTTTCTTGGCGGTCATTACATTATAAACTTCTCACTGTGCAATGCATGGTTACATCCACAAACAACACAGACGGGCTGCTATGAGGGTCTCGAAGATGGCATCTTAGAGAATGAATGGTCAACATATATCTTTTGCTCGGGGACTGTCCGAAAAGTGTGAAATGAAGACACTTTATGGCTACTTAAACTGGAGTGAACCTTGTTGTTGACTTTTGTCAGGAGGGGGTCGAAAAGCGACGTCACTCTGTCTGAAAACCAACTTTCCAAATCCTCTAGTCTACGATCCAAACCTGGGGTGCTTCAATGACATCGTGTCTTCCAAGCTATTGATGTAAGCGTTAATTGCCATTTCGCATTCTGTCTTCAATGCAATCACTACTTCTGTAATCTGAAATAGTCTTTGGGTGTGTATCCTTTCTTTAATCATCTGTCTTGCTTTTAATACGAGTTTTGTGAAAGAAGAGAGGCGTCCCGTTCTTGCTGCTTTTAATTTTCTTTCCTTCATACCCTTGGGTATTGAAATTGGGCTTGGGAGACCAAATGTTGCAGACGGATGAAATATTGAAATACAACAAGAAAAAATAAAATAAATAATAAATTTAATGTGAGGGAAAAACAGTTCAAAATCTGATTAAAATAGAAACAAATTGAAAACTGCTTCTGGTGAGATTGCTGTTGAAGTTGTCAGGTAGACCGCTGTTGTAGTGGGCTTTCAGGTGCGCCACTGAGACGAGAGCTGGTGAGAATCAGTGCCACTGGTGTCAGGAGTCGCTGAACCACTAAACTAAAGAGCTGTTGATGTTGCCCTGAAGTGTGCTGGCTGTTCAGTAGAAACTGCCAAGCTTATTTACAGGTTGGAACTTACAACTGCTCCTTTTCGTTGCTGAAACTACCAATTTTATCTTTTTCAATTTCAGACAAAGAAAAGAACAATAAAAGACATGCATGTGCAGTAACGGAGGAAGTCAAATACATTTTGCACATTTTTCATGCGACCATCTGTAAGGTTAAAGCAGTGAGCCTTTTTTCCAACTGCTCCATTTCTGAGACATGGCTTACAGACAAGTAACAGCGGGGAGAGAGAGTCTTGACCTCTTGCATAGGCTACAGTTGTCTCCACAGTCCACGAAATCAGACACTGTGCTGGAATGGACTGAGCTTCATATAGATTCTGCTGATATAGACAACCTACCAGAGTCCATTGACAGGTGCAGAAATGTTAAGAAGATCTATGCATCACGTAACATGTTATCTTCTTTGCCACAGTCCATATCCAACCTGCCACACCTCACAGTGTTGGACCTATCCCACAATGCCTTCACTACATTTCCCATAGCACTGTGTGGCTTGACTAACCTAGAGGAGCTGAACCTGTCAGACAACCAGCTATCTGACATACCAGGGGAGGATATCACTAGTTTAAAGGGGCTTAGAATATTATTCCTTGATAACAATGCCTTCGCTACATTCCCAGAAGAACTATGTGACTTGACTAACCTAGAGGAGCTACACCTGTCAGACAACAAGCTATCTGACATACCAGGGGATATCACTAGGTTAAAGGGGCTTAGAATATTATTCCTCGATAACAATTCCTTCGCTACATTCCCCAAAGAACTATGTGGCTTGACTAACCTAGAGAAGCTGTACCTGTTTTTCAACCAGCTATCTGACATACCAGTGGATATCGCCAGGATGGAGGGGCTTAGATTATTCTGGCTCCATGAAAATGCCTTCACTATCTTCCCCATAGCACTATGTGGCTTGACTAAGCTAGAGGAGCTGGACATGGTTGACAACGAGCTATCTGAAATACCAGTGGATATCAACAGGATGGAGGGGCTTAGAATATTCTGGGTTCATGACAATGCCTTTACTACATTCCCCATAGCACTGTGTGGCTTGATTGGCCTAGAAAAGCTGGACCTGTCTCACAACAAGCTATCTGACGTACCAGTGGATATCAGCAAGATGGAGGGACTTAAACTATTCTGGCTCAATAACAATGACTACACTACATTCCCCATAGCACTGTGTGGCTTGACTAATCTAGAGAAGCTGTACCTGGATAACAACAAGCTATCTGACATACCAGAGGACATCACAAAAATGACTAAACTTCAGATACTCAAACTGGAATCCAATAACATCACTCATTTGCCACGTCAGATCTGTAATATGGAAACAAATCTAAATGTGACAGATAATCCTCTGGTGCAACCACCTAAACATATTGCCAACAGGGGGCTAGGTGCCATCAAGAGGTACTTCGAGGCATTAACTGACACCAATGCAATCCAGTCAAGCAGAATACAGGTCAGCTTTCTTGGTGAAACAGAAGCAGGAAAAACTAGCATTTCACGTACATTGCAACTTGGACAGTCAATCCTCACAAAGAAGGCAGACAGGACAAGAGTGGTGGAGCAGGGAACATGGGAGGCTGATGAAGATATTGCCTTCAATATCAATGACTTTGGTGGACATGATGCCTACAGAATAGGACATCCCATATTTATCTCCACTAGTGGCTTGGTTTTCGTCACTTTCAATCTGTCTAAATATGATGCAGGAAATGAGGGTCATTTTAAGCTGCACATTGGAGATTGGATTGACAAGGGACAAGCACAGATGCCAGGAATACAAATAGCCCTAATTGGAACTCACCTTGATGAGGTTGAAATCACACAAGTAGAAACAAAATGCTCTGCAATAAACAGGAAGCTTGAAGAACATGCAGATGAAAAGAAAAGGTGGTATCAAGCACAAAAGGAGACATGTGAGAACAAAATGAAAGAAATACCTGAAGCCCAAAAGTCTCTCCGCCAGGCCTACCAAAGCAAAGCAGATCATCTGGAGACCTTGCACGGTCAGATGCAACCCATCTATGAGCATATATTCACAGTGAGTTCAAAAACCTATAAAGGAGTTCCAGAGCTGAGAGACTACCTTGTTACTTTTGCCAGGACAAGTGCTGAATTTCTACCAGAAATGTGGGTGGAAGCAGCCAAGAATATCTGCACCAAGAAAACTGAAGGCTCTGAAAACACACTCAGCTGGGAAGTGATTGAAGACCTCATTCTGCAAAATGCACCTACATCATGGAAAAAAATGTCAAAAGAAGATAAAGAGCAAACAATTTATGACATCTTAAGTTTCCTAGCTCACCGTGGAGACATCATTTGGTATGATAGATGCCCTTCACTGATGAAAGTAGTTTTCCACAAGCAAGAGATTCTAGTAAATGTTCTCAAGGCAGTCCTCACTCATGATAAAGATGAAGTATCACAGAAGCTCCAGAAGTCCATGAAGATTACAAAAAGGGAAGCATCTGAAATAGAAGAAGACATCTTCAGCAGAGGAATTGTTTCTAAACAAGCTATGAGTTGCCTGTGTGAGTCTTTCAAATTGTTAAGCACTGAAGTTGATGTCATGACAGAACTCATGCAGAAACTGGAGCTGTGCTATCAAGTCCAGGAAGATGATTCCCTTCCATCCAATACCTCATTCCACTTTCCATGGCTCCTCAGTGAAGAAAGACAACCTGAGCTAGACACCAAATGGCCCAGCAAGGTTCCCCCAGACACTATACAACTTACCCTGCAGGTGCTCTTTCGATACAAATGTCCCGATGGCTTGTATGAGAAATTTTCGGTTCGTCAGCACAAGCATCTTGGACTCATGAAGACCATGCGAATGGACTGGAAGGATGGGGTGTATGCAAAACTTGAGCAATGCAAAATGCAGATGACACGGGGCCAAAACCAGGCAAATTCAAATGCAGTCAGCCAAGATCCAGACTGGGTTATCAGCATTGCTGTCCGTGGATCACATCTTTCAGACTTGTGGGGTGTTCTCACACAAGGCCACAGTGACCTCATGGACATTATAAAAGAGGACTGGCCTGGACTGTCATATAGCAAGTATCTGGTTTGTCCCCACTGTGTGAGTGAGGAAAGTCAGGACCCAACCCTCTTTCCTGGAGAGATACTTGACCTAACCCTGGGGACAGCTTCCAAACCAAGACAGGTGCTATGTGTCAACACCGGTGTCTCCATTCCTGCAGATCTGGTTTACCCACCTAGCTGGCAGGAAGGTAAGCACATAACATTTCCCCAAAGATTCACTAGTCTCTCTTTTTTAAGTCTCTTTTTTTACATGTTGTCAATCTTCCCTTAACTGAACGTGACATCCATAGAAATTTACTAATAAGAAGGGTTTTCATATGTTAGTTTTTTTCATTAAGTGCGACATTTTAGCTGTAATAACGTCCCCCCAATTACTGACCTTCCATATCATATATGTATCATCTCCATGCACTAATTAGTTAACATGGAAAAAGTGTTCTTACAGCAGTGGGGGATTTTTCTGTTAAATATTTGGTATTTTTACTGTTACCTTTGCCTATGTGTCAAAGTCTTTATATTCTCCTAATTATCCACTTAAGATACTATTTTTACTTAACAACGACCAGTAATTATTTTTCTTTCTTTTGTGTATCATTTAAAAAACATTGCAGCTGTTTAATCATTTTCAGTTCTGCACAAGCAAAAATCAAAGCTATGTGAAAATATCACAGTTCCTGGTCTCCTAGACATGTTGAATGTTTTCCTCCAAGAAGACATCATCATGGATCATGAATATGAATGGGTGAAGCCAGAGCTCCCACAATACCAAACCACAACTACCAGGGTGGTATGTCCAGAGAAAACTGCTGTCTTCCTGGACATTCTAACCAACTTTTTTTACATAATGCATACAGATAATTTTTTTCTCTTTCATATGTCAATAATTTAAAAACTGTTTAATTGTTTTTAGTTCTGCGTAATGAAAAGCCAAAGCTGTGTGAAAACATCACAGAACCCTGTCTCCTGGACATGTTGGATGTGTTCCTCCAAGAAGGCATCATCACCAACCGTGAAGCTGAGACAGTAAAAACTGAGCCCTCGACTGATAGGGTGAAATGTCCAAAGAAAGTTGAAGTATTCCTGGATATTATAACCAGGAAACCTGTCAAAGCATATGTTACACTGTGTCGATGTCTTCAGGAACAAGAACAGACTGATCTTCTTGAATTGATCCAGTAACGGGACTTTCCTATACAAATCAAACTTTCACAGAATTAAAGGGGTCAAGGTTTTAATTTATCAATTGAATACCTCAAGGAAAATGGACAAAGTGAGGTAGCTTCAATAGACCTAGTGGACAAGAGAACAGACTGTATGGACTCACCACCTGTCCCAGCCGTGTTATGTAGTTGGTATTCTCAAATGTTCAGCAATCTTCGATGTACTCAAAAAATTTGACTATTCTTTTTGACAGATAAATTCAAAAAGTAAATCTTGGTCAACTGAACTAGGGCATTTACTTACAATGTACCCGGTGACTTGAGGCATGAAGGCTCAAAGTTGATCCAGTTACCCATAGTGTGTGGGCACAGAGCAGCCATCTTTCCAAGTGATGTGGAGGATGATGATCCAAAACAGTCTGTGCTGCTGACTTGTGATGAACAACAGCCGGCTGCAGACTCAGGTTTGTAGACGATTTGAAAGATTTTTTCCTATCTTTATATTTTTAAAACTGGTTAAAAGTTGTGAAGACAATTTAAACCAAATGTATCTGATATTTTATCTGCCTCATTATGCAAGCCTTAGGATTAAAAACCTCATGTAAGGTGTATTCTGGCGCGAGCCGAAATTACAAATTGATGCCAATCATAAATTTAAAAGAATATGATAGAAAAAAACTTTATGTTATCCTGTGGAATTTTAATATATAATTTTTCTCCTTTCCACAGAGCACAGTATCAACAGTTTATCTCTGCCAAGCAGTGCGTCAGACAGTAGCTCTCCCAGCACACGGAGCACCAGCAGCACTGGACTAAACTCTCTGCAAACCTTTAACCCTCATCCTAAACTAGCCAATCACAATGGGTTCCGAGACAGGTCACCAAGCCAAGTGGCCATGATTCATCAGCCACCGCAGTGGTTTAACGCCAGCTCCCTGCCTCACACCAGATCAACAGCAGATAGTTATCACTGCTCCAGGTCACCCACAGACAATCCAGGTATTTCTAGCATTCAAGGATGACATCTTCTAAGCCATTCCAATTGCTAATTGAGATTAAAAGAACAGGGTTAGATCTGTGTTAAGGAAAATAATTTGTTTTACTGTACTAACACTCTGCATTTTTTAAATAGTTTAAATATTGAGTTAAACCTACCTCCTTGACACAGTATAGGCCTACTCATGTCCCTGGACATAATTCTCACACCACATCTTTATATTTGTGTTCAATTTCAGAGCCCCCTGCCCCCCACACTGCCTCCTTGCCACAGTACTCATGTGTCCCTGGACATAATTCTCACACCACGTGTCACACATTGCCAATACTATATGAAGGTAATACATTTATTTCTTTATTTATTTACTTTTTTAAAAATGTTCAGTTAACATTATGATTATGTTGTGTCATCATTATTCCGTAACTTTAAGTCGTCTTTGACAGATATTTAGGCAGATTTTTTTATACCTATGATGCTTGAATTTATAAAAGTTTAGTATTTATATTTAGAATGTAATTTGTTCCAGATCTGTATCCAGACTCTGAGGTTCATCCCAATCATCACTCATCCAGTGCCAGTTCTCCAAAGTCACCAAGTCACCATACCAGTAGTAATAGTAGTAGTCATCCTCAGCTCAGCCATCTCAGCTCACATCATAATATAGACTCTGGGGACATCCCCAGTGAAAACAATCACAATCACAGACACTTTGATAGTGCTGAACGCCGCCATCGCGGAAGACAAGCGCCTCCTATAGGGGGCAGGTCACAACACAGACAACATGGCGGAAGGACTTTAAGTTCTCCATCTCAACAACACCATAGACACTTGTATGTGAATCCAATTGATGAAAAGTTACAAACAGCAGGGAGCATTCCAGAGGTTGGTTTGAAATCACCTTCTTCAAAACAAAAGGTGGCGCTGCCTCACAGGACAGGAGATGACAGAGTTTAACAAACAGTGTTGTGTGTGTTAAGTTCTGGAGAGGAATGCACAGTGGAAAGATGACTGGATTTATTATTTTGATAAATAAGTTCACAATGTGATCACAGCTATGGCAGCCATGCTGCTTAACTGTTCACTCAACATTATGCGAATCAAGAAAGCCATTTCTTTGCCAAATCTCACAATTGTATAGTTATTATTATATCTTACTACTTATTAAAGTGAATTGGTTGTTTTTCTCTTTTTTACACATACAAAATAAGGGTAAGTGGTATTACTGTAGTGTATTTCTGTTTCATGTGTTCTTTCTTCACACTTTGTGTGTGTAAGTGTATAGTGATGAATTAACTTGACAAGGTTATGTAAATATTGTACAGGTATTCCTTGTATATTATGTACAGTGTATGAATCATGCAATAGAATTTTTTGTTGGTGGGAGCTAAATTTGATCTTCTAAAAGATACTATATAAGGATGTATGGTGGATGGGGCATTTCTATGAAGTAGGTCAAAAATTACCTTAGTTGTATTGTTTCATGTCATAATATGTTGCATCACAAAATCCTAAGACACCAGTATTTTGATTTGGCTTTGGGGGATAAAAGTTGGCATTGTTTAGCCAATTATATAGCATAATACTTTATCTGTTACATCTTGTTGAATGCTTGTTGTTTATGTTATGACCAAGGTTACAAGATCAACACATTTCTTTAATTTCCCTTTAATCACAATAATCTATGACGTAATAGATTTGTCTACCATCTAATGTGTGCGTGCGAGTATGTGGTAGGATTTATATAATGTGCACTTTTATTCTTGTTTCATGCACTTTTTTAATTTTTGGGGGTCTCTTCATGCAACTTTTGGTGATTAACTGACATTTGCTAAAATGTGCACAGCCTCATAGATCAGTATTATTACCAGGTTTTGTTTATTAGGTTATGTTGTCATGGATACATGTTAAACAGCACAGTCAAACTGTCCCTGTACCAGAGGTAGTGGTATCATGTTTTTCCCCAAGTTGTAGTATGAAACAAATATCAATGTTTGTAGTGGATGAATCCTTTGTTATACAATACATAGCACAGATGGAGTGGACTAGCTGGATGTACTGGGAAATATAGTAGTAGTAAGAAATTGTATCAAGTTTAGTATTCATAAATTATGAAGAAGTCATACATGCCATCTACCATCTATTAAATTTTATCTTCAAATATAAAGATTGTTAGACTGTGCTGGCATGTTATATATAAGCCAGTTGTTTAAAAAGGTAAGAAAATAAAGGAAGTAATACATAATTATAATTAAACAAATTGGCTTGAATTTTTGTATGTACAGACACACTGTCTGTTCATATAGCCATCACCTGCATCTGTCGTCACTGTGCATTGATAATACGATAAGTGGAAAACTGTTTGACCTTTTGTTTTCAAACTTGCAGAACTGATTAATATTCATAAAATACGGGTCAAAATCGAAAACTGGACCATTTTGCTTTTCAAAAGTTAGGCTTTTTTAGCATATATCCAATACAGATAATATTTTTTCAAGGGAAACTGCTTGGCCCATTGTCTTCAAACTTATAGGAGTGATCGATATTACTAGAGCACAGGCTGAGTTCAACATTTAGCTGGACCGGACGATCTTTCCAAAAGTAATGATATCGTTTCTTTTTTTCAGCATATTTCGAAAATTAAATGCTTAATATCTACCAAACCGAAATTATTATGTAAAAGTTGAATATAGAACCAAAAGTCGGATGTGGACATTTGGAATATGACATTACATTTGACTTTAGACCTATTTTTCAAGGTCAAATGGGCCAAAATTTTGTAAAAACAATTTTTCTGTCGAGAAATATTTGCTTGTAAAACTGTAAAGATCCATTTAAATCAACACCAATTAAGTCTGTAATTACAAGGTGTTTGGTGCATGCTGAGTTAAACATTACACTTACCTGGAGTGATAACATGAAAAGTTTTGAAAAAAAGCAAGGAAGCCAATGTACCTTTTAAGGAAATTCACTAGGAATGTGACCATTTCAACGAAACTTTACAGGTGTAATACAGTATTGAAGGTTTTTAACTTATGGGTTAATTCGATAGCATGAATGTGCAACTGTAGAGGGGGGGGAAACAGAAAAAGTTGAGACGGCAAGTGGCGTGATTAGAACAGATGGTACTCCTACAGAATCATATTATCTTGAGAGGGTCGCAAATAAAAGTCTACCATGAGTGACGGCTTCCACCCTCTTCACGACTTTTAATTCTTTTATCAATCAACTCCAGGGAATAAACATATATTAAAGATATTTAGCTTGATGAGGAATGAAATAAATTGCTTTACATAGAAACATTAAATACTAGACAGGCAGAATAGAATGGAAGTGGGCCATTAGCACTCCGATATACAGAGGTAAGGTATATAAGCTTTTGCAGCTTGGGATTGAGCGTTATGTACAAGTAGCAGTACTTACAACAGCACTAACAGTATGTACTTACAACCCGTTTTAGTGCCAAAATTAATTGTCCGTCTACATTTGGAAATCGTAGGAGTTTGGCATGATGTTTCGTTCTTTTCTATCTTCTACTGACATTTGACCTATCTGAACACCTCTCACGAAAACGATCACCTGATTTACATAATGATACAGTTCACTCGCTTTCCGCTCAGAAGTCCTGACTTTAAATCTAGTCTTTATTGTGATAAAATAAGACATACAGATAACACTGCAGACGTAACCGGAATAGGCTAAAATTTGAATTTCGTACTGTTTGAGTGAACAAACATTCTAAAAATCTAAAAGCATTTTGTGCAGTACAGTCACTTATATTTGTCTCAAGGTGCGGTTTCACAATATGATTTCTGGGCTATAGTTGGTGTAATTTTTAAAGTTTTTTTATCTGTTAGTCGTATGGCTAAATGCTGGGTAGAAGTTTAATCCATTGCTCTGTTATTTGGTTTTATGACGTTACGTGTTTAAAAGTTGCGACGTTTTTGTGACGTCAGTTGATGACGTGCACACGCAGACGTCACCAGCCACCTATGACGTATTATTATGACTTGCGTTTCTAATGGCAATCGTGAAGTTTCAGTTTCCGCGTATAAAAGGAAATCTAGCTCTATAGATCTACTTGTTATAAACTCATGGCCTTACTGTTGTCAACTTGTGTCGTCAATTCTGAAGACAGACATTGGATCGTCGGTTTGAATGAGGTAAATATTACTCGCATTACGCAGATAAAACATGCTTTTGTAGCCCTATATTGTTAAGATAAACAGTTATTTCTAAAGTATTGTCTAGAAAGCTCGTAGGCCTGCACATGTACACATGTAGATGTGTAGCTAATTAGTATGTAGTGAATGTTCTTTATATCTAGATCTCTTTTAGAATAATAACGTTTCTAATTAATTCTTTTCTAATACCAACTGGGGCATCCAACTTTTAGTTGCGAAATAATTGGAAAGAATTCACTGTAGATTTGTGGCATTTAAGTTTGTGTATAGTTTTTAATACTGCAACATCCTTATCAACTTTTATCTTACCACCCTGCTAGGGACACCGCCAACCTGTTCCGTACCGTGAATTTGACCATTTGAAATAAAATCTACAGAAAACTTTCAAAAGTTGGCGATAAACTTTATTTAAAAACTTAATAACAACTTTAAAAACTTTAATATCAAAATGTCAAATCCGTTTGTTGCATTTCACAACCCGTACCACTCTCTTCTCGCTGTTTCTTGGGCCATTTCTTTCGTTTGTAATATATATACATATTACCGCATAGATGACGATCAAACAATTAACATATAACCAATACCGACTTAAAACTTCAGACAGAGGAGCGAGGGGAATTCAAAGGTGATGGACAGTAATCGCAACGTTAACAAGACAAAGTCTGCTGTAGACCCCCTTCTCTCAAAGAACAACCCAAGCGCTTGGACTCTCTTATCTTCCAGTCTCTCCTCTGACGACCCCAGCGCCCCCTGGCCACTCTGGGGCCGGTTTCACAAAGCAGTAGTTAGTTAGCGATCGNTGAAACCGGCCCCTGGCCTCTAGATACAGCAGAAATTTTACTGTCTCTCAACCACACTTCTACTGACATTATCGCTCCAGCATATATGAGCAGGTCCGTATTACAAACCAGCACAGGTGTACATTCTGGTTACAGCACGGAATCTCGAAAGCACTTGTCAATGACACAGTCGAATGTCAAGAACTTCGACGCCGAAGAGGTAGTGACAACGCAGTCACAAATGTCACTTCATTACAATAAATACAATACATCCAAGTCTGAGGGTCTGTCGGTCGATTTCTTGGCCAATCCCGACCTACCTACCGGATATCCTGTTCTACCTCTCTCTGCTGAAGACCGTAATGTGGATCAAGAGCCGAGGCCGCAAATGTTACTGAAAGAGACGCCAGCAGATGCAGCTAAAAGATTCTGCCAAGAAACACAGCACATCACAAATAATCTACAGCGAAAAGAAGTCGGCGAACCCCGCCTAGGCTGTGACCAACACATTTCGCAATTTAAGCATAGCGACAGTGAAAAAGTTAATTACGGGTTTCCATCAACGTTGTATACTGTGAAACAAGGTCTGCCATTGTTGTTGCCGTCGGATTCCAATGATGCGCACAGTTTGGGTTTCCCAGAGCACGAACTCACCCGAATAAAGCCGATGTGTCCCCATGGTAAAAAAGCGTCTCAGGGGGAGTTGGTGTCGCCTGGAAAATACTCCCAAAGCGTTTCCCCAAAGCATACAGCAATACAACATACGAGTGGGAATACACAACACAATGTGGCAGAGGTCGACCGTCTCTTAACTGAGTATGATGACAACAAAGAACAGCTACAGGGAGCGGTAGATGAGGCCCTGTGTTTACGATTCCTTCATTATTCTAGAAAATTGATTCCGGGTTCACGGAAGAGGGCTACGAGACCAACATCTCCTTCAGAGTTTAGCAAGAGAGTGGATGTTAAAGAAAAGCTCCGTAAGTTGTGCCGCACGCGGCAGCGGGACAAAGAAGACGTGCGCAGAAGGCTGCCACATGAGTCTCAGCAAAGCAGCCTATTTTCACTAACGGCGCCAGTCCCAAACCTTAACCATCTCAGTGCAGCGCCATTGACTTTAGATAAGTGGCAGAAAGACGAAGAGCGCACGTGCTCTAAGATGCCTCAGGGTCACGGTCCAATCTCAATGGAAGCCTCAGCAAGTTCCAATTCCCAGACTTCAGCAATTCCAAATCTGCAAAATTCTCTGTTATCACCGCCGCCACCACTACATCCAGATCTTCCACTGCATCATTTCCAAACGGATTCTGCTGGCTCGCGGTCATACCACTCGGTCCCTGTGTTGCCACGACAGTACTCACATGCAGGTAACTTGTCCATGCAACGCATGCGCGAGTGCACTGTGTACTGTGAGGTCTGTGGGGAATGCCATTCCTCCACAGCGCATGCGTATGACAACACCGGTTATGGTGATGATGACGAGGAGGACTATGACATGAACAACAGCAACAACAACAGCAATAACAACAACAGCAACAACAACAACAACAAAGTCGGTAATTATTGCCGGACACTGAAAGTTGGAAAACGCGAACATGCTCAGGTGAGGAGGCTAAAATATGTACGTATAGTGCCTGTATTTATTACTGCCTTAATACTATCAATTGTTCTTTGTCGTTCACTCTCTTTATTAGTAATTGTGTGGCTTTTGACACAAATTCTAAAGAACTACATATTTTGGTTAAAACAGTTGTCCTTTTACTGGTCTCATGGTTCTGTTACATCAAATGATTGCTTTCAGATTAAATTCGACAGTTTTGACGAATTGGGTGAAAAACGTGGGGAGGAACAGAGATTACCGAATGTTAGTGTTTTTCACGAGGAAGAATCGTCCTCGAAGCAGAAACCCTGTCTGGAAGCGCCTACAGCGCACCAACAGGACAACACGTTTGTCGATGTCATAGGTGTAGACTGCCATGACGAGGTGGTGGTTTGTCACCGAGTGGACGACGACAAACGGAAAGCACCGCTGACAGCCGGTGAAGGAAACGTGGACGAGCCTTCAGTGCCAAATATATGTGAACGATCCCTGACTGGAGATCAGAGGCCTCGGGAGACACATGAAAAGTACAGAATAACCGATGATTTACACGTAGCAGAACCGTCGTCACACTGTCATGAAAAATAGGAAAGTGAAAAGAAAAGGTGCGAAACGTCAAAGGCAGAGACCCAAGGCCTTTTCAAATAAAGGGTTTCCCTCTCTGATGTTGATTTCATACGAACCTATAAAGACTGCCTTAATAAGAAAAACAGTTTACGGACCAAACAGGACTTGCATTGAAAAGGGTGATAATAGAATTTACACTGAAGTAGAAGGGGTCTTACCTAAGAGAATAAATTCGGTAAGTTCTTCGCACCATCACCGATCTAAAGTTGCCGTAGAATGCTTTGGAATACCGACGGTCCTGCAACCTCCAAAGGTGTCAAAGAAAAGGAACAAGAATATACCTGGATGGATCCGACGCCTTGCATCCAACAGGGTAAAACGTCTCTCTCTCTCTCTCTCTCTCTCTCTCTCTCTCTCCAATTTCTTTGTTTTGTTTTGTTTTTTTTTTTTTAATATCATGTGAGATACAAGTACGCCCACCAGCAACGTTTATTTTAGCAATAAATGGGATATCCGTGTATCTTCGATTCCTAGTCTAGAATGTTTATGTAGAAAAGCGTTTCTTCACACACTGATCACCATGAAACTTCCACGAAACTTAAACTATTATATCATCCTGTATATATAATTATTTACAGAATGAAACGGACTGTTGGGAATCGTATCACCGCATTGTGGAAGAATTTATCGAAAATAAACGGATAAGTGCATATCGATTCATTACTAAAATTGACGAAGAGAATAAGTGCCAAATTACTGCCATTCCTGTCCCAATACTTGCCCGCGCAACGCCATCTATCGGCTGTTCCTCTCTCAAGCAGACGACCGATAGTATTGGAACTGAAATGGAGGATTGGGATAAGATAGTGCAATGTCTACAGTCCTCCTAAAGGTTTGGTCAGAAGGCGTAAAACACGGAAAGCTTCGTATATACATTGAATTCTACTCTTATTTTTGTTCATTTTTGTTTACTGTGAAGTGTAATTAATTTAAGCAGGAAAATCATCCCTTTTGTTTACATGATTTATAATAACAAAGGTTTGGTTGTAAAATTGCCGAAATATATCATTTATAAACAAAGATATGGATATAATCAAATATGATTTAATGATATTTTATTAAACTTAATCATTATAAATATCTACGGAAAATAGCTATGACTTTTTGTATAAAAGGCGGTCGCTCGTGGTCAGTGAGTCTTTTATGCTGTGGTTGGCAACCGTGCAAATAAAAAAACATTACAGTATGATGTTCATATGGCAAATACTGGTCCAGTAACTGATCAAAACTGTTAGCTCTGTTATGTACAGGCAGTGTCATTGCATACTAGGTTCCCGCCAAAGAGATTTGTATATAAATAAAGCTGTATTGTGATAGTTGAGGCGAGACGTCTAGGAATGGCGTAATGCGATAGGTGTGCCGGTTGATACAAATGCGATTGTGACCCAATCTGTTATTGTGCCTCGCCGGTAACAGATGACGCTGTTCTTGATTTGACTTAACGTGAGATAAACATATTAATATTAATTTACATATAGATAGATAGACGTATCTTTACACAAGACTGTCAAACACAGTCGGAGTCGTGTCACCATCTAAAGTGATAATAAAGCTGTAGTTAAGTTCTCCGTGTGCTGCTCCGTTGATTATGGCTGATAGAGTCATAATTTTGCTACAGTTAAAACCACACCTATATAAGTCCTTGGCATATCATCTCAGTTGATCTAGTCAGTGCATGCACCAGCCTTGCTGACATCACTCATGTACTAGTAGCGGTCTGGTTAAGTCTAGACAAATGATAACATTTCTCATTACAATTTGGTTTCGAGAAAACCAGTACATGTAAAACCTCTGTTCATGCACTTACGTACACAAACGCCGTTGAATCACGGTCAGGAAAGTTAACCGACTGTGAGACTCTTGGAAGTTTGCGCCTAAACATCTTTACTGTAATCGTCGGATATGTACAATCCCAGGGTGCAACTGGAACGCGTATGGTTGACACAGTGACATCACAGAAACAATTTCTAACGTCATAAATGCACTTACTGACATCACAAATGAAATATGTGCACTGAATGAAGTGTCGGTGGCTTTTATTTCGCCCAGCACGTTAAAAGTAGAAATCTCGTCGCATCTAATGAAGATATTCCACTGACGAACGTGCAAGTTGCTGATGACGAAAAAACATTTGATTGGCTTGTAAAACGGGTGAAGTTGAGGAAATAAAGCGGATAAAATTTTCCCCTCGCGTGTACCCGATACACTGAAAGATGTCCTCATAAATACATCCTGTACAATTTATATATATCATGAAAAAACGTTAATGTACATCTGCAATGACTGCGTTTATAACAACACTTCTGTCTACTTGAAGTCTCTGTTGGGAAACTTCCTGACCGTGCCCCAAGTACTGTCCTCACTTACACGTGTGAATGTCCACTTGAGAAACGCACGTCTGACATTTAACGTAACAGCACCATACGAATTTACAGTGACACCTTTCTGAATGGCGCTTCACTTGGGTGTTGTAACCTCTACCGCAGCACAACAGGTCGCAGCTGTCTTGTGACCGGGAGTTTTTGTTACACATCCTCCCTCTTGTACCGGGAATCCCCTGCTTCGCGTCTGCCCTGCAAAAGTTCGGCGACCGGTGCAAATGCACCAGAATGTCCACAGGAATAGGCACTTTCCTTTTGACGCGCTCGCGCCTGCGCAGTTTGCGTTTTGATCGTGGCGCCACCTGCACCGAGTGTTCGTACTTGGTTTTGAGATAGTTTCCGATTTGGCGGAAAGGTGGCAGTCCTTTCCAACATGTCTTTACTGCGCATGAGCCTGAAACTCCATGGCAACGGCACTGTCTCCTCATCTGCTTCACTATAGCCTGCAATGAAAAAAAGAAAAGAAATCTCATATTTTACATCAAGAATGATGAATGATTTCCGAAGAGAATATAAAGTTTTACTACAAAAGGATGTTGAAAATTCGTCTGCATCGACCAATTATTTTACCAACTTTTATTTATTAGTGGATGAAAATATCATTGATCGGTTGTAAAATGATTTCTGTTGCACCAAGAGGCCGTATTCGCTAAAATACTGTATTTTATTGGACTTATCGGTTACTTGCCATCTCTGTATCATAGCACAATGGAATTGTATCTTATTGTCAGATAAATAAACCAATGAATGAATAATAGATAAACCACGTAGTTAAACTGAGGTAGCTCTTTTTGTCTATTTTTATTTTGTCTTACTCACTTATAAGAGAGAAAATAACACAATCAAATTGATCAGTACAAATGTCTAAACCCATTTTTGGCAAATGTTTGAAAGGAATCAAACATCAAGAGAAGACGCACGAGCTTAATACTTAAGCGTATGCCTTTGCTTTGGCGATACGAGCAAGTATTATACACACGTTAACACCTCAGCTTTAATACACAACCTAACGTTCTGGCAGGCAGCAACTAAGATACAAACACGCGTTCACCTAAAACTGATACCTAAGTTAACATTTTTGACGATTTGGACTGCGAGGAACGCGTCTCTCCCGCGTTCCGTACATTACAGTATGTTGGTATCTTCTTTACCATTTGTTGCTGTTTCCAAAACATTTTCTTTAGAAGTTTGTGTGTGTTTTTTTACGGACCTGTGGGAAAATTTCTTGCAACACTGAAAACTTTCTTCCGATCTGTTTGGTTCAGAAACCAGATCTGTTTTTATATATAACAGTTACAACACGCGGTGGCTGTCGCCAGCAGGCATATTATCTCATTTAAACCGACACCTTCAGCGGTCGGGGTTGAGGAGTCGTGTTTACTCCATATTTCCATTAAATTTCACCCGCCTAATTGTTCCCCGGTCTTAGCTATCTCTGCCTTTTGATTAAGATGATCCACGGATATAGACGTCACTCCACAGGACTGAGGGGAACGGGTGATGGAATTTTTCACCGGGACGAGTCCGAACAATGGCGTCAAGAGTTGGTGTCTTCTTCAATACGACACTTGACAGTTCTCGGCACCTCTCCGGTTACTGGGGAACTTGGGCTGGGGATGACGGATGCCAGCAACAAAGAATGGCGAAATAACAGGGCGTTTGCTTGAACTCGGCAATGGTCGAGGTACACGAGGACGATGGATTTTTTTTTTTTTTTTTTTTTTTTGAAATTATCAATCGTTATAATAGTTAGTGATTTTTTATCTGTAATCTCCGAAAACAACCGATCACGAAGAAATGATAATGAATTACACAAAACAACAAATATCGACTGGAGAAAATAGTGTTTACTTTAGGCGAATATCTACATAAGAAAATAAGAAAATATTTTGAAACTATTAACACTATGACAACGTTTTTTTTTTTTTTTTCCAAAACTCGTTTTAAGTTAAGGTACTGAACTCTTTAACTTCAGAAACTAATGATATTATCAGCGGCCAAAAATGCTAGCTCTGTTAAATTTCACTAAAAGTTGCCCCCTCGTGACCAAAAAATACTTTTTAATCAAAATGTACAAAATAAACAAATATCTGAGCGCTCAAAAAAATGAAATATGGTATCATCCTGACATTTATATATGGTTTCATTATTTTTTCATTCATTTTTTTCAGGGTAGGTTGGCTGTCAATTTTGAACTCTACAATATTTACCTGCACCGAACTACAGGACCTATCCCTCGTCTAAGATTGCAATGTGGATTTTTATCTTAGTTATCCGTTTGTTTGTCGGTTTTTTAAGTCTAGTAATAAAAAGGATAAGATTTCGTGTAATCTCCTAGCTCTCCGGATTCGATATCGCTTTAACATTTGGTACTTCAACCAGTTGTGTAACGAGTTTAAAGGAGTTTCGTGCGGAAACGAAAATGTCTGCAGATGATAAAAAACTTTGTCTTTACTGACAATTAAAAGTAGCCATTCTCAAGCCAATTCTGCCCGCACATACCACAACAGCTGATCACCCATAGGCATATTTACAGAAATAATATCAAGTGATCATCAGTGTGATCTATCATAAACATACACACATTTAATGTGTAACTGTTACATAGGTAAGTACTCCAGGTATGCGACGTTGTCACATATGACTGTATTTTACTGCTAATTTCACACCGTCTCCCCCCCCCCGCCCCCGCCCCCAGCACTAAATACCTACGTAGTATCCGATACACTGCCTCTGCGTTATTTATTCCATTTAGTATAGACTGCATTAAATTCCCCACGATTTAATTGATGAAAACTGCGCAACAATGGCAGACCAAACTGTCAATCAAGAGCACAAAGGAAAGTTAAGCTTTTCTTATTACAAGGAATAAACGGAATGGCGCAGCTTCTGTTGATGTTTAATTAGGAAGCATCTAGATGGTCGGCCCATTGCGACAATGGTGCCTGGAGGCAGCTCCTGGTCAAGAAATTATTAAACGCTACCTTTCAATCTATTATTACTCGATTAGATTGTCTGTCTTTTACCATTTGAAAAGAGCAATCGAGGAGGAAGTAATCGAAGGAAGAGAAGCTATCAGAGTTAGATGAGACGTTAGTCTCGAATGGTTTAGGGATAGTTTCTTCACTTTGAAATCGATTGAAATATTTCACACGATACGATCAGTAAGCCTGACTTCGTACCGATGCGCGCGAAAGATGCTTTTGTTTATCGTATTTTCTACGTGCCTTCGATCTCCAAGGCCGCATTCCGACGACCGATGGCAATAGTATGTCTACGTAACCACCGCAAAACGGTATCATTACAACTGTGGGTTTTGTCCACTTCGGGGTCTTTTTTGAAGACATTTTTTCCGCATCACTTAGCTACAAATAACCAACATACCCTCAGAAATAATGACAGGTTTTCCTCAAATAACAAGAATCTACTGTTTATTAGTGATTCATCACACACAGTTGTATCCATTTCAGATGAACTGATGAACGTGCCAATAAAATTATACTTCCTATTTCTCGAATAGTTTTGTCTACGGTTTAGCTCTGTTCACTGTACCTGGTGGAAATTATCTTGGCAAGTCAAGAAAGTCTACACAATTCTTAACACCAAAAGGTCTTAACTAACTTGAAGTCTAGATCAATCTTTCTCTGATTAACCAGGCAAACGAAAATGCAAGAACTCTGAGAGATGCGCCAAAAACATTCACGCGCCCTTGTCAGTTTCTTAGTTGATTTCACCTCATTTGTTGTCGGTTACATTTTTGCGAGCTGCGGAAGGCACGAAGTCCACCTGCGGGCTTATTTCAAAGTAAGTGAGTGATACATGAGAGAGAGAGAGAGAGAGAGAGAGAGAGAGAGAGTTTGCCATAAAAATTTAATTTATTGTTGGTGGAGTAAATATACAATTTCTCGGTTTTTCAAAGGAAATAGTTTGGAGAGAGTGGGCTAATGTTTAATCATTGGCGCTTTATATTAAAACTAATAACTACAGTTTTATTTATTTATTTATTTATTTATTTATTGAGCAAAGGAGGTAAAATCATTAGTATGTCGAGAGTTCTCTTGCATAGTCTGTATCGTAGATTGACATCACAATTTGATCCGCAAAAAAATCAAGAAAGAGCTGTATCTTGTAGTCTAGTAATCTGAATTAAAGAAAAACATTGGGTGGTTTTCAGACGCTTTCTTTAATTTGACTTCCGAATTTATACAAAATCATAGAGCGTGTTGGCCACAGTCCTATGAATTCCACGTAAGTTGGTATATTAGAACATGCACATAAGAGAAGATCGGTCCTGATGTGACAGACATCTTATAATACCAACATTCATAACAATCATAGTACTCGTACGGACACAGACACTACCTAGACGGCTTTCAATATTCTAATACAAAACGGATATGTTTAGAAAAACTTTCTTCACCCCACAACGAACGGCTTCCCCTTTTTATCCTTCAATTCCGTAACGCCTGGAGGACGTTAGAGGCCCTTCCATCCGAGTGTTGTTTTTTCTCAGCTCGAGGCGATTTTGCTTCCAAATAATAAACCGCAGTTTCTAAACGAGAGTAAACAAAATTACCGCTGATTGTAGTAATAGATTATTTCAGTTTATCGCACAGGGCGCGAAATGAGTTGACTTCGTGTCAACATCGGCTGTTGGTGTTGTGGTAACGGTAATCACTCATTGATAGGCCTACAGGGGGTTCTACGGCGATCTTCACCCTTACCCCTACCCCCGTCTTCATTTTTTAAGGATTAGTGCAAGGGCAGCCTTATCCCCCACCCCCCGCCACCTCCCTAAAAACTTTGAGATGAAAAGATGAATTTTGATCACGTAGGTTTTATTTGTAGGCCTATATTGTGTGATGTGAGAACACAACACTTTTCAGTATTACTGAACTATTAGCTATTTACCCCATGGTCACATGGGTGATTTTATTAATGTGCTTATTTTTGCCATCCACAGCATCTTATAAAACCTTACATACAGCTTTAACATGATTAAACCCCTTAAATATTTTTCACGAGCGTTCCTGATGCTTCTTATAAAAATTTACACAAATTATTAAAATCCCTTAAAATTTTTTTCTGATGTTGAGCTTATAGGAAAATGATCGCTGTTATTATGACTAGCCAGTCATTTTAAGCTAAAATCAACCTTTATGAATTTTACCAAAGGTCGAATCCAAGTGCAGAGAGGGATAGATAGATGATACGTGAAATTTCTTATTTTCCGGGGGAAATCTAATTTAGCCGGTAAACCTCATGAAGTGCGTTCATTTCACTGTCATTAAACAGAAACTTTCTTACTTTTCTAAAGTAGGTTGAGTCTATCGTTATTTATATATGTTAACTAATTTCATCTTGGCTTATTTGTTAAGAAAAACCCCAGCCAAAGTGACAAACGACGAAAGAGGTTTGCAAGACTTTTTTCACGCGCAAAAACACAACTTTTTCAACACAGCTCTGGCAAAAAACTTAAACTTTGTGATAAAAGCTTCTTCACTTCAAAGGTTATTTGTCTTCCGTAAGTCCGACACCTTGAGTGTAGTTCGAGGAGGTATCTTTCGCTCTAAAGAATATTTACACAACCGAAGAAAAACAAACGAACTTGGTCAGAAATCAAGTGTCGTCGTTCGCGCTCACCTGGTCATTGTAACCTATCCTGCTACCCACTTCTATACCACCTGGAGACTCGAGGAGGACCCCTTTTTTTTGGGGGGGGGGGGGGGAGAGGTCTGAATTATCAACAACTGACATTTTCTCTTTTTTCTTCATTTAAATTTACTTCTTTTTCATTTAGATGTACTGTTAGTCCTCATATTAAGCAGCACGGTTTAAATACTAAAATTATTGAGTTCAAAATTATATACATAGCAGACGCTCTACATGCTCTACATTGTAATAACACGTGGTGAATTTTTATAGATTATATTGGATTATATTGGTTTTTTGAGATTGATAGACTAAAACTTTATTTAGATTATCTTATTACAAGGACTTCTATAAAATTGTCCTAACTTACCAAAATGTACTAAGAGCAAGAAAAGCGGCAAAGTGACAAATCAACCAGAGAGGAAAAAATACTGAACCATTAATTATCCAGCTACTGCAAGTTCACTTAGCTAAATAGAACTATTTACCTCATCTGTTAGTTCCGTTATGATTATTTAAAGAGTAAAATGTTAAACGTTTTACTATTTGCCACAAATTGATGAACTAATATAAGGTCTCTTTCTCTCTCTCTCTCTCTCTCTCTCTCTCTCTCTCTCTCAACGCACGCGCACACGCACACACCTTCAACATGATACTTCTCACACGGATCCCCTCGTCGCGGGTGTCCTGTAGATTTAAAGCATGACTCACCTCCAACATTCCCATCCCTCCCTTTACTTTAAAGAAAAAAAGCAAAACAGGTTTTCAAAAATGACAGTCTACCAACCCAAAGGTCAATAAAATCTTCACAGTTATTATCCTCCAAACGTGGAAAAGACGCGGTATGTCAGAGGAGGACACATGATAGATGACACTTTAAAGACATGACGGAGAAAGAACATTGAAACGATTAATTTGTGGCTATTATGCGTCCGATTATGTAGTTTTGTATTTGTGTGTGTGTGTGTGTGTGTGTGTGTGTGTGTGTGTGTGTGTGCGTTCGAGTGTGTGTGTGTGCGCGTGGTTACATCAGTAAACAAAACTTCATCGTCACCTGTTTCTCGCGACCGCTGCCGGGGAAATAGAAATAGAAGCTACCCAATGGCTGGAAAGCTGAAACTAAGTGCTATTAAAACACAATTATCGTTTTAAGTACTCTCTATTCAAAAGAACTCGAGCCCATCAGTTCTTGAAAGAACTAAGAAGTGAATGCATACCAAGAGAAGAGTCGACTAATCACTGCATGCACAGATACTGACATTGAACAGGCTAACAGTTCTCAGCGACTTTTTTTCTTCTAAAACCAGCCTTTGAAAAAGGTATACATGTAGTTGTCTAATACCGTGTCACAATAAAGTTTTTCTTTAATTCTAATTTTAACGCAGTGAGATTTTGACGCAACAAGTGCCATGGTTTCTCAAACCAAGGAGTCATACCAGATCATACCAAAAACGACCAGAACAAAAATATGAGAAATAGATAGAAATCCAGTGTTGAAACAAGATCACACTTTTAATAGCTGTGTTGATCTAGACCATTTCAAACCCCGACAGCGTCCGTGGGCCGTATCCGGCATACCCTGCGTAACAAGACAATTCACGCTGCATTCTAAGCCACACCGATGCCAGCGATAATTCATTCCGTTGCCCCAAAACACAGGGCTCCAAATACGCACTAATTAAGACGCACGGCGTCGCTGTGCTGAGACGTTGTTAACGTCGATCTTGTCAAGTGAAGCGTGGTAGAACCACGTCCGGAATTTTCTCCACGCTTTTGACGGCGTTAAGCCGAGATGGCTGCCCGGTACTGTTACCCGTCTCATCTGCGATGAACTGACAGGAACGTATGACGCCGTGTGCTGATGTTCATGTCAATTTTTTCACGCTTTTTCACATCAGCTGAGTGATAAAATACCGATTGTCATGTGTCGAAATCACTGAAAACGTCTAAAATGATAACAGACAACAGAACGACAAGTGTGTATCAGTCCAAGTGCCCTCATTCAACAATATTCCATACGTTTTTATTTTTTGTTGTCCGACGGTGACTAGAAATTGACATTTAGTTTCAGATGTATTTTTCTTTCGTTTGTTTATCTTTTCATTTTTTGATGAATACATTTATTTGTTTATTTTCTTTTTGAGATGCACAACTCGTTCGTCCTCGTTTGTTATTATTATTATTATTATTATTATTTTGTATTTAACGTATTTTCTTGCTTTGCACTACGAAAGTCTTTAAAAAGGTTTTTTAGAGGAAGGGCAGCGATTCACTGAAGCATTTAAATGTATAAGGATCTAAATTTCGACTTTTTGAAACTTCTTAAGATTTTTATGTCTCTTTCAACTGAACCCTGCTGTACTGACTACTATCTCACTGCTTCAGTTTACAAATGACGTCATTCGAAACGTCTCAGAACAATATCCGACAACATCCACGTTAAAATATAATATCCGACATGTCCACGTTAAAATATAATATCCGACAACATCCACGTTAAAATATAATATCCGACATGTCCACGTTAAAATATAATGTCACCACAATGTCCGTGAGTAATGTTATCACATCAGTTGTGGTCAGACAGAGCGGTGAGTGACCTGTGTCAGTGGACGTCAGTTTTCACGGCCAGTGAGCCACGCCAAGAACACAGACAGATGCACACCTGTCGGGCACCTGAGCTGTGATCTGAACGATATATGTACACATAACATGCTGCAAGTGGAATATTATTTTATTTTATTTTATTTTATTTTATTTTATTTTATTATCATTTTTTTGCAATACCCAGTTCTTTCTTTTGATATTGTTAAAGGTAAAAGTTGCATTTTATTAGCAAAAGAACAATGTCTGGACTTCTATAGGCTACTGCGGACTGTAACACAGTGGTCGCTACGTGTACAGCCAATAAACATTATTTAAATGTGATCAAAATATTTTAGCGGTCCTACACAAATAAATAAATAAATAAATAGATAGCCCCACATACCTTTCTGCCGACCTCATTATTGTGCAGGTTCATCAGCATCCTGACGTTCCTCCCGGACTTGTGCGAGGAAGTGTCCGGAGCGTCCACGAACGTCTTCCCGAACCAGACGCCGTAGTCCACGTTATCGCTACAACCGCCCCACGTCCAGCCGTCCTCCGTCTTCTGGCCCTGGAGGCGCAGGTCGCAGCTGCACTCCGTCAGGTTACCTGCGCTGCACGCCTGCGTCACGGCGTGGACGACACCTGCGCTCAAGATGGCGTAGATGAAGGCTGTCTCCTTCGTGCCTGTAGTACAGGAGAAAATGTTTAAATTGTGTGGCGGCCATACTAGCAAACATGCACGTGCAGTGCTTTAGACAGACAGACAGACAGACAGACGGAAAGAGGGAAAGAACGTTATGAAGTCACTCAGAGAAACAGACAGAAGGACAGGCAGGCTGACAGGTTTACAGACAGAAAATAACTCAGAAAATAGAACTTCGAATACGAAAAAGACTGTGGGCCACCAGATGTCGCTCTCAAATAACACAACTTGACACATGTCACATCTTTAACAAATAACTTGTCATATGCACCAACTATCGTAAAGAAGAACTTCACATTTCTAATAACGACAACATGTCATGTACTCTCAATATTTCGTCCTGTATATGTATTTTTTATACGTGGCAGTGACTTATCACGAACATCAATCGGTTGTACGGCATTTAGCTATCAGCTGTCCTGGTCTACCCCGCCCAGCCATGTTTAGGCTTACTTATCATAGGAGGAGCCTTAGTAATTACGACTTAGCTGGAAAACACGCCCAAAGAGGGAGCAACTTGTAACCTCCATTTGAAATGTATAATTCAAGATGGAAGAGATCTGGTATATTGGCAGCAGACGACACAGACTTGGCAGACGACAAACGCTTGACACCTGATTAGCACGTTGATAATTTCCAATAACGATAAAAAGTGTCGCGGTTTGAAGGTACAAGAAAATGACTCTTTTTGTACAGCAAAATATGTTTGTCTGACTGGCTATAAAACTTGCCTCCTGTGTTTTTATTATCTATTAGTGAGACCTTAATGTCCTTCAGTTTTTTTTTCTGCTTTACAACTTGGTATTGGGGATTATGACACAGAATGCAACCACACAAGTAAAATGGGATTGAGAGAATTTTGTTTAGCATCATAGTAGCACCATGTAAACAGATTGCCATCTTCCTAGAAGCAAATCGTCTCTGCACACCTACACTGCATTGACTCAGGTGGCATGTTGCTGTACTGGCGACTTGTCTGATATTTACACATGGGATATGACCTCGTGTAACGCCTCTCGACTCTTTCAGATTTTACTTTGACGGATGAAAATTAAATGAACATGCCATTTTGCATATTTGTCCCTTGTGTTATGACATTAAATTTTTAATGATTGATCCCCATGCTATATTTTGTTTTCTTCGTCATATTTTGACCTCCTTTCGAGACGTGTTATTTTGATATTCGTACTTAAACGATATTGTGTATAACTGCACGATGACACGTAAAATAGCGTCTCATTTACAGGAATCGTCCTTTCACAAATGTCGGGGAAAGATAAGAAACAGAGCTGACATGTAAAAATAATTTGCGACAAATATGTAGCGGTGGAAAGATAAACTAGAAGACAGATAACCTATTGTCACACTGCACCTGTTCTTTTTATTATTACTGCAATGTGCATTTCTATAGGTTTTTTTTTTTTTTTTTTTTTTTTTTGTGTGTGTGTGTGTGTGTATTCGACGACTAGTCGAATTGCGGTTTAACATCAAGACATTTTATCCCTTTCTTTCTCTGTCCCTCTCATACACACACACACACACAGAGAGAGAGAGAGAGAGAGAGAGAGAGAGAGAGAGAAACTTACTTATTTCTGTGTTAAAACGTAGTATTTATAAAATCGCTTTTTAAAACAAACAGAAAGTGTAAAGATTCAACTTTCAAAGCGGCACATGAAACAAGCATCAGACAGGGGACAGACACCAAACCTAGGTGCAGATCTCCCCATGTTTAGCGGCTACGATATGACCGAGCATTAAATGGCGACCACACCTTGGAAATGATAGGCCTATAGTCTTCATGGGCGTTGGACCGTCGGTGGTCGCTGTAAGTGTACCACGTGACAACCCATGTGACAGTCCTGAGGCCACCTATCTCGGCGTTCTTGCCTAAAGGCATCTCGTGTAAGGGATGCCCAGAACCACTAAAATTACATCCACCATAAAGATTAAGATCGGCGATACGGACAATTAGTGTCGAACGCTTTGATAAAATCTTTAAAAGATGTCCACTTATAATAAACGGTGGCTTGCGCGTCCTGTTTGATGTTGCCGACGCGGCAACTGAATATACCACATTAAAAACCGGACGCTAATTTAAGAGTGACACAACACCAAAGATAGCTATCGATATAATTTACTGATGACTGCAACCCTTCCGCCCTTGTAGAAACACCGCCATACTTGGTGCATGTAAAAATTAAAAGCTGAGTCAATTTTTAAAAAATGCCTTTTCAAAAAGTTTTTAACTGAGTTAAGTAGCGGCTATTTCTACCGTGACTCCAGTGCTGTGACAGTGACAGGATATCGAGTTCTTGGTTGTGTAATGAAGAGGTGGGGTGTAATCCACCGACGACACACAATCATGACGACTGTAAATGATAATGGGGGCGATTTGATGAGAAACATTTTATTGCCTGTTTACTCCATGGCCTCTAAACATTTACTGACTCTTGGACTTACTGAATTTAATTCAGTTATCCTAAAAGGATTCCAACTTGAAATACATAACTTGAACGGCTCTGGTGACCCACAAGTTACAATGCACAAAAACCAAATGTACCCAACAAGTTTAAAAAGATACTTGACTGATGTGTGCACCTCGAAAAAACAGACTTCATGTGACAAAATATCGTTTTATACTACAGGGCGTCAGTTGTCTAAAAAGCCAAATCGTCTATTTAGCACTAAAGTACTGAAGCACAATACACATAATGTTGAAAAATAAGACACTTTCCCTCTGCTTGGCTACGCCATCACATACCAAGAGAAGATATAAAACTGTCAATTATAATGTTTCCAAATTTACAAGTGAATAGCCAAAGATATGCCAGTTTTATCGCCTCGTTTACTGGTTAATAATTCACTAAGTTCTGTTATATATTTGTACAAATTTCTCTTGCGAAATAAATGAAATATTTGTCATTTACATCTTCTATCACATTCTAACAGAAATTACTAAGATGTTCTGTTCTATACGTTCTATTTTTTAATTCCCTGAGAGACAAACTGGGCATTAAAAAAGAAATGACAGAGTTTTCTTTTTAATAATAGATGAAAATCTATGGCGCGTTCTTAAACTACTGCAAGCTGTTTACAGAGAAAACTTTTCCTGCGAGACGTCTTCTCCTTCAAACCGTATTACTACCAACATACCCTCTACCAGGGCGACAGATTGATTTTTCACAGATATTCACAGATATTTCTCTAGATAAATAGACAGTCATTTGGCTATGTGGATTTTCCCGTTTTTTCCCATATAATCTGCCACCTTGGTAGAGGGTACTACCAGCATGTTTATAATATGAGAACGACAAAACCCCCACTTTCATGTTTGCGTCTACCACGTCGACACTGTAGCAACAATGACACCTTGCAGTAACCCGAACCCGTGTTTAAATACGAATATTACACCTTTAAATGAGCGTTCGTGTTTACACTGCTTCGACCCCTGACGACCTGCACGTTTATTAATTCCGCACTGCTATAATTTATGGTCCTAAAACGCTCGGTGGGGCGTTTCTGGGGGGAAACACACACATCGTAATTATTTCACGGTCATCAGCCAAATGTCTGCGAGGCCTGAATGACTATCACTACGCTGAGTTAATGAGCGGTCGCCAGATCTCGAAATTGAATTAAATTTAATTGAAAAGCGGGGCATTTGGTTTCAGGAGCTAACAAGGCAAGCGTGGCGCTACTGATGATGTTGAAAGGATCGCGTCTTGAAATGACCAATTAAATCGATGAATCATTTGATGAGTTTCGTTGAGTTTTTGAAATGGGAAGAGTGGGAAATTGTAAGGTTTAAAACCAAAACCCGGAGTCACAATAAGATTGGTATAATTGATTATATAGAGCCCCTTTTTAACAATTCAATTCAATTCAATTTATTTCTGTACTGGTACATAGATTGTCATGACCTTGTTCNTCACAGAGAGAGAGAGAGGGAGAGAGAGAGAGAGAAACTTACTCATTTCTGTGTTAAAACGTAGTATTTATAAAATCGCTTTTTAAAACAAACAGAAAGTGTAAAGATTCAACTTTCAAAGCGGCACATGAAACAAGCATCAGACAGGGGACAGACACCAAACCTAGGTGCAGATCTCCCCGTGTTTAGCGGCTACGATATGACCGAGCATTAAATGGCGACCACACCTTGGAAATGATAGGCCTATAGTCTTCATGGGCGTTGGACCGTCGGTGGTCGCTGTAAGTGTACCACGTGACAACCCACGTGACAGTCCTGAGGCCACCTATCTCGGCGTTCTTGGTCTCTGCGCCTAAAGGCATCTCGTGTAAGGGATGCCCAGAACCACTAAAATTACATCCACCATAAAGATTAAGATCGGCGATACGGACAATTAGTGTCGAACGCTTTGATAAAATCTTTAAAAGATGTCCACTTATAATAAACGGTGGCTTGCGCGTCCTGTTTGATGTTGCCGACGAGGCAACTGAATATACCACATTAAAAACCGGACGCTAATTTAAGAGTGACACAACACCAAAGATAGCTATCGATGTAATCTACTGATGACTGCAACCCTTCCGCCCTTGTAGAAACACCGCCATACTTGGTGCATGTAAAAATTAAAAGCTGAGTCAATTTTTAAAAAATGCCTTTTCAAAAAGTTTTTAACTGAGTTGAGTAGCGGCTATTTCTACCGTGACTCCAGTGCTGTGACAGTGACAGGATATCGAGTTCTTGGTTGTGTAATGAAGAGGTGGGGTGTAATCCACCGACGACACACAATCATGACGACCGTAAATGATAATGGGGGCGATTTGATGAGAAACATTTTATTGCCTGTTTACTCCATGGCCTCTAAACATTTACCGACTGCTGGACTTACTGAATTTAATTCAGTTATCCTAAAAGGATTCCAACTTGAAATACAAAAACTTGAACGGCTCTGGTGACCCACAAGTTACAATGCACAAAACCAAATGTACCCAACAGGTTTAACAAGGTACTTGACTGATGTTTGAACCTCGAAAAAACAGACTTCATGTGACAAAATACCGTTTTATACTACTGGGCTGCAGTTGTCTTAAAAGCCAAATCGTCTATTTAGCACTGAAATACTGAAGCACAATACATAATGTTGAAAAATAAGACACTTGCCTCTGCTTGGCTACGCCATCACATACCAAGAGAAGATATAAAACTGTCAATTATAATGTTTCCAAATTTACAAGTGAATAGCCGAAGATATGCCAGTTTTATCGCCTCGTTTACTGGTTAATAATTCACAAAGTTCTGTTATATATTTGTACGCATTTCTCTTGTGAAATAAATGAAATATTTGTCATTTACAACGTCTATCACATTCTAACAGAAATTACTAAGATGTTCTGTTCTATACGTTCTATTTTTTAATTCCCTGAGAGACAAAATGGGCATTAAAAAAGAAATGACAGAGTTTTCTTTTTAATAATAGATGAAAATCTATGGCGCGTTCTTAAACTACTGCAAGCTGTTTACAGAGAAAACTTTTCCTGCGAGACGTCTTCCCCTTCAAACCGTATTACTACCAACATACCCTCTACCAGGGCGACAGATTGATTTTTCACAGATATTCACAGATATTTCTCTAGATAAATAGACAGTCATTTGGCTATGTGGATTTTCCCGTTTTTTCCCTATATAATCTGCCACCTTGGTAGAGGGTACTACCAGCATGTTTATAATATGAGAACGACAAAACCACCACTTTCATGTTTGCGTCTACCACGTCGACACTGTAGCAACAATGACACCTTGTAGTAACCCGAACCCGTGTTTAAATACGAATATTACACCTTAAAATGAGCGTTCGTGTTTACACTGCTTCGACCCCTGACGACCTGCACGTTTATTAATTCCGCACTGCTATAATTTATGGTCCTAAAACGCTCGGTGGGGCGTTTCTGGGGGGAAACACACACATCGTAATTATTTCACGGTCATCAGCCAAATGTCTGCGAGGCCTAAATGACTATCACTACGTTGAGTTAATGAGCGGTCGCCAGATCTCGAAATTGAATTAAATTTAATTGAAAAGCGGGGCATTTGGTTTCAGAAGCTAACAAGGCAAGCGTGGCGCTACTGAACATGTTGAAAGGATCGCGTCTTGAAATGACCAATTAATTCGATGAATCATTTGATGAGTTTCGTCGAGTTTTTGAAATGGGAAGAGTGGGAAATTGTAAGGTTTAAAACCAAAACCCATAGTCACAATAAGATTGGTATAATTGATTATATAGAGCCCCTTTTTAACCCATATAGTGTTCGTGGGTTTATTTTGGCCGGGTTCTTGTCTATTTATTCTATCAAGTCACCTCCAAAGGTAGAATCCGAGAGTCACCGCTTTAATTTCGCCCAACAAGTTTACTCTAAGACGTTGTTATCAAAGAAAGATGTGTCAAAACGTCGTGTAACGCCATAATTTATCTGCTGAACATAAAGCAACCAGATTAACTTGTTACAATTTCAATGCTGGCAACAGATCGCGTTTAACAACGCAACTGTTTCAGATATCTTGAATTAATTAACTACCCGGGATTCATAAAACAATTAAAAGCTTATCCTATCACGCGAGGGATTAACGGGATTATCTTGCTGATATTACACCTATCCTTCTCATGTCTCTCATCGTTTAAGCTTATCCTAATCTGGTATTGGTGAAGGTAACAAAACCCCCAGGGACATCGCTGCTTCAAATACACCCTAGAAACCAACTAGCGGCAAGTTGAAAAACGTGAATATCCTATTAGAAAGGTTTCGCAATGTTTGGCCATACTCCTGTTGGACCACGCCAAGTTAAAGATATCAGATAGTGGACAATAGTCGGATTATTGAAATTGGATTGTCCGTGGCGGGTGCAGAACAGGGAGGAAACTCTCTCTCTCTCTCTCTCTCTCTCTCTCTCTGTGTGTGTGTGTGTGTAAGAGAGAGGGAGAGAGAGAGTGTGTGTGTGAAAATTACAGAAATGGTATGATTTCATGATAAATGAAATGCACTGAATATTCTCAAAAGACAAATCAAGGGGAAACTCTTTCACGAAATTTAGAGCATCTGCCTGTAATGCTTACCAACCATCCTTTCATAACCTACAAATGTGAAACTACCCTATAAAATATACTGATTGTTTAAGTCATTGTGCTGGCTCCTGAGAATATCTTCTTCAAAGTAAAAATGCATATTGATCTATTTATTAACATTTAACTAAATGAAATGCCTCTTACCGAACACGTTAGCGCCTTTACGTAATCATACATTGAGTTACGTGTTAAAAGAACGTCTTGACCGTCATTTCACTCCGTTAATGAACACTTAGCATTCGACATCACGGGTTAATTATCTTCAAAAAAGTCCCGTCACGAAAGCGTTTCGCGAGTACCCGTAATGAAATTGCTTAATCTAATTACAAGATAATGCAATGTTTCACTTGCTGCTTTACGCCAATATCTTAATTGCTATTTAATTTCCAACATGTCTCTATTTCTAAGATATCTTTGTGTGAGGTAGAGTTACGCCACTTCCAGCAATTTATATGAAAAAAGTTCCTGTGGTAAAAGGAGTATGTTTTCAAAGCTGGGTATTAACTTTCACCCGTTTCTCAAAGAAACTATCACTTCATCCCAGCGTGTTTTTAACGTTTAAGCGCCATATAACTTATATAACAACCCTTTGATGATGGTGTCCCATGCTACGTACGGCGTATCTCATATACTGCGGGTACAGCACTCATACACAAACACACTGAAGCAAAACAGACAGAAGAAAACACACATGTTTAGGGTCTAATTCACACAAACATTCGTCGTCTTTTTATGTTTCAGATGAAAGGCGGCGCCGTTCTCTCGCACTTGCCGTACCAAAGCCCGCGCCGGCTAGGGTTGAAAAGATAATAAAAGACGCTGTATAACAAATCAGTGATGTTAAGGTATTTCTGTAGAATTCTCTGTCAAAAAGGGCACGCGGAAACAATGACCGCCATCTTGAAAGTTTCAAAGGCTTCGAACAGATGGATGAGTTGGAATTTTAGTCAGTGTGAAAAAAATCAGGGGTAAAATAAGATCAGTTTGCCAAAAAATGCTTAAGTTAAATATTATCCTGATAACAGATAAAATATAAATGGAAATGCATAGTTTCTTAAAGAAGAAATTATTTGCCAACGAGGCCAATTGCTACTTGAATCTCAAATAATAATAAAATAGACAATTAATTTGTCTGTAATGAACGCGTCACCATACACCTATAGTATGTGTAGCTGGTCTCGTTCCTTCACTTAACAAAACAACATCAACTTAACAGCAACCTGCTTCATCTTCCTTGGCACATTTCTCATTATTTCTATCTCAAGTCGAAAAAAATCAAAGAGGTGATGTCACTGAATCGCTGTTTCCATTATTGACGGTATTTGTCTGATTAATCGTAAGCACGGCGGGCGACAAATAATTGATTAATTGAAATTTTCTTAATTGATTGATTGAGTGATTGATTTGTTTATTGATCGGTTACGTGGTTGGTTTACAATATAACTGATTGATTAACTGATATGCAGATTAAACAATCATTTGTCCTACCTTTATCGAGCAACGTTCCGAAGACGGTCTGGTTCTTGGTTGTAGTACAGTTCCACCTCTCGTGCTGAAACTGGTACTGACACTCGTAAATCCCCTGACGAGCCCCAGTGCTGATACACAGGATGGAATCTGGGTGTTTTTTACACACCTGTACTTGCTGGGTGTCCAGAGGTAGTCCTTTACAGGTGTTCTTGTTTTCTATCTTGTCGTGGCTTGTTGCGATGGAAGAGACGCCCAGGTACCTGGAACAGTGGACACGTATGTTATACTGTATCTATATATAATATATAATGAAATATATAATAGGAACTGTGGTGGTTTTTCGTTGGACAAATCTGGAGTCACCATGGATGGATAACTTGAGAAAAGATATAGAGAAGATAATTAAAGACACTGCAAAAATGTCCTGAAGTCTAAGAGCATTGAAAAAACGGCGACTTTGATGGTCGTATGTGGGGATGAGTTCAATACACTTTCTTCTATGATAAAAGTATCTGCGCACCCTAAAGAAATCGTGGGTGGGTGGGTGGGGTGTGGGTTAAGGTCTATCAGAATCACCTATCTGCTCTTGAATTCTGAGTCATGGAATTGCAACTGCGGACACTATTGACTCCATTTCTGTCCATCTCTCTAACCCGCACTCCTTAAAATTATTTTTAGGGTTCATTCCCAATGGAACTATCGGCCTACATAGATCGATCCAAATCTGCAGGGATTCTCGCTGAATGCAGTCCACCTAACTGAATGACACTCCTCCTCTCGTTTTCAGCGTACTCGTATAATCATCTTTTCTGAATGCTATTCAACGTCAGGAGGAGGCATGTTAATCTGCCAATCTGATTGCTTTCAGCGAGCGTCTCTGCGGAGTTGGAGACTATACGTAGAACGCTAATTTCATTGGGAATGAGACCTCAGCCTCTACATTGTAGTGGTCCATCCTTCTCTCTACTCTGTTATGCGAAACAGTGGCACGTTTGAGTGAAATATATTTAGACAGAGAGGCACGTAACCTTCTACCCTGTTAACACATATTACTTGCATGTGCGTCGAAAAAAATAAAAAGAAGAAAAAAAAAATCCACCTCCAAAGGCTTCTCGTACCACAACTACCGTTGTCGAACAGCAAGTACTTAAACTGATACCCGTATATAATCTCACAATTGTTATTTTTAATTTTTGAAATTAATTTTTAAAGGAAAAAATATACAGTACGAAGCGGTATTTTCTCTTCAATCGAAACTCGCACTTGGTGATATTGAAGAAGCAAATAATTAAACTCTCACCGTGAGGAACCGGTAGACATCAGAAAATATGTACAAAATCATTATCTCTTTCGCGATTAAAAATGTTAATTTTCACACAAAATCGGTTAAAATAAACATGGCAAGAATTTCGCAAAATTATTCTTCAAAGTCAAATCAAGATGACAGCGTACAAGAAGAGGTAGCTCTGTTTTTTCTACGCGGTTAATTTCTGTTCTTTGATAGGTTTGAGGGTACAGCGTACTTCTCTGTTCTACCAGAAGAAAAAGGTAGCTCGTCTCTGATTGAGTGCAGTTAAAGCCCACAAGACGTGTGCAGAGTCGAGGAATGCCGAGTCGCCACCTCAATCTTCTCCACGCCGTAGATAACATCGCCCCTCTCTCTCTCACTTTAGCATCAGCTTACGCGACCTATGCGTTATTAAGTTAGGAGCATCATCTAAAGCCGCCCCCGTGGACCCGGTATATTACCTTAACTCCATAGCAAGCCAAATGTCTGCACGCGACTCCTGCTTGCGTTTTCATACGCAGCGTTAAAAACAAACGTCATCTCAAAGCGGACAGTTTGTAATACTGCGTTCTGCGTTACCAAACCATTAGTATGTTTATCCTTCGATTTGAAAACGCCTGAAATTTTGGAGTCACTGTGGATTTGCTCGTCCGAGAACGCAATTTCACCCGATGTTAGGTCCAGAAAAGCCATGGTCTGAACAAACTTTAACTGGAGAGTTTCAGTGTTAACTGTACAGTGCGTTCAAACACATCGTACGTAGAAACACAGGAACAGAGCTTATTTTCCGCTAGGATTCGCCGAACAATGACACTGTTGTTGTTATAATTGTTATTGTTATTGTTGTTGTAATTGTTGTTGTTGTTATAATTTTTGTTGTTGTTGTTGTTGACAGGAGTTTTCAAGTGCTAGTGTTATTCTATATTTAACACACTAGACTATCAGAATTAAATTATATGCAGTTTTGATGCACTGTTGGTGTGTACTGTTAACGAACACGACAAACGTGCAACTTTTACCAGCTTGATGACGGATATTTGAAGAATAAGAGAAAGTCTGTTCAGAGAGTAACGCCATGCAATCTAAACACCCTTAGAGACACAAAAAAAATCATAACAGGTATTGCTGCTTGGTATATCTCTACTCCGCAAACCAAAAACCAGCCCCACCTAATTACACAAGAAAACAAGATAAAATATCTCGGAATAAACGTGCCATGGAGACAATTTGCACCCTAGCAATGACATTATTATTTCCAACGACAGTCTCGGTGACACAGAGTGACTGGGTATGGGGCATCTGGTGACAGCTCCCGCATTTCTTCAACTTCCTGTAGATCAGATCCAACAACATCATTCTCGCAATAATTACACGCATACCTTCTCGGCGCTGTCACGTCCTCTTATTTATTTCCTAAAAATGCATATTAATAGTTTCCCACCACTTCATTCTAATTGCAAATTAAGTTGACCGCAAAGGAAGAGAAATAGTGCTGTGGTACCTGGTATAAACAGTGGTATTGTAGAGACCTTACAGGAGAGAGGGGAGAGGTGTTACCATACACATTAATTTAACTAGTACATCTGTTCATTATATCAAGATATATATTTTTTCATTCACAAACAGGCAACACAATTACCAACTAGAAAATGGTAACACACCAATTGCATTGTCATCAGTATATCATATTGTACAAGGTCATGATAATCTATGTACCAGTACAGAAATGAATTGAACTGAATTGAAATTAATCCAAAACGTCATTTACCAAGATCAGCTGTTATTTTGGAAGAAAAGGGGAAACTTTTGCGAGTGTTTGTCCGATTGACAAGTTGAATTCCTAAAGTGAAATAAAGAAACGAGGGAAAGCCAGGTCGCGTTTTAACCTAATACCCTCGATAAGGCGGACGTGGTGTTAACTGCATGTAGAAAGCGTTAAGTTGCCGCACGTGGCCAACTACAAATCTCTTGGGGATGAGTTGTGAGAAGACTTCAAACGATGCTCAAGCTGCAGCGTTATTTCTGCGTGTAGAAAGACGAATTTGACTCGGTTATGGACTGAGCATGATTCTACCTTTCGTGAACTTTTCTTTCCCTTTTTAAAACTCTTTATTATTATTATTATTATTATTATTATTATTATTATTATTATTGAGAGTGGAGGGGGGAATGAGTTTTACTTCCTACACTGCCTCAGACAATATTCAAACCTTGAGAACCCTAGCAGGAATGACTATCTAACTTGACTTGGACACGAAACCAAAAGTATACTTTTAACTTACATCCACTTGGCCAGGCCGTGCGTCCCACACAGGTAAAGTCCTAATATTAGTACTACTTCTCCCCACCTTGACTGCGCCATTGTCTCCCCAAGGCGCCGGCTACGCTGCTCGCATGTCTTGTTCTTACAGGAAAACTTAGGAGAAGACGAGATGAACACGTTAACAGTAAGCAACGCGTCTGCACCGCAAACAGGCACCGAATAGTATTTTTATCCGTAGAGATCTTACTGCGGCAGAAAATTGCACACTTTTTCCAGTAATTGAAGGCTAGAGATGGAGCGTTCAGCAGGCCAGGATTAAAATGCACCTCCGTAACAAGGCGGTCTTTAACTGTCTACGATGTTGTCAATGATAGTGACGTATAGATCTACTCCATGTTGGCTTGGCTGTTAACTCCCCCGCACCTCGTGCAGACGCTGCTTAAGCTTCTGGACTCTCTTCTTTTGATGGTAAAATTATTCACGGCCCCCCTGCCTCAGGCTGTTTGCTGATTGGCCGATAAGACCAATGATGTCAACAGGTGAATAAAATATTCCGTTTGATTGGATAATACACCGGTCACATGACTCGCGGAGGGCATGCGAAGAAAATTATTGAAATTTCACCTTAATACGCTGTAAATCTTTGCGCTGTGACAGTGTGAAGAGTGTGAATTGTATAAATCAAATTGCAATTAAGGCTGTCGGCAATATTAACCTCTCAGACTACCTCACCAAGACACAAAACAAATATTCACTGAATAAAAGCTACTTTTCAGATAAGATATGCAGACGCAGCTCTAAGTTCGTTATTTGACGCTGACTTTTTTAAAAGGCCCAGTTTATCACAATCTCTACACTCCATCTTCTGGTAAAACATTTCCCGCCCTAATCCCCTATAGCACAATAAATTGCAGTCTTCTAACCTTAAACAAATGCCGACATATATTTGTCACTCGGCGCGGACTTCTTTCGAAAATATTTACAAATACGCCTTGCTTAATCTCCGCTTGACTCAGCAAACCCTACATCACATAGGCCGATGTGGACTTTCTGTTTTTCTTTTTTTCCCCAAATATTAATTTCACTAAATTACCTTAGCTTAGTCGTGAGCTATTTTCGTGTATCGGATATGTATCCTGTTAAGTGCAGTATAATATAGGGTGTAATACAGGGTAACATAACCCAAGCAGATGACGCAGAGTGATATAAGAGTCAAGGTATCAGCCCGCGGTGAGACACAGATAGTACGCTTTGTTAAACCTAAACTATTGAAATTGACGGCCAGCTTTGTAATCTATTCCGACTTAAAGTTCCTTGAAGAGGAAGCGAGGGAATTAAAGGCATCCGATCCATTAAACGCCAGAATACCTGTTTAATTAAGTACTCCGGGGTGGGTTAATTGAAAGAGGGCACGCTCGAGAGCACGAGGATGTTGTTGAGGTGAAGGGACGGTGTAGTATACTAGACCACAGCGGGGCGGCGACACCTCAAAGAATCAGAAGGTGTTAATGAAGGCGTGGAGGTTTGGGTGAGCCTGGGCGGCAAGTCTGGACCTGTGATGTACGAGTACAGACGTGCTAGCAAACACACTTGTGAATACGGCACATAAGCCTACCCCCCCCCCCCACACACACACACACACACACACACACACACACTCCCCGTACTGCATTCTCTGGGGTACAACGTATACTTCCTGGTGGTACGAACAAATGAAATTCTTTTTTTTTTTTAATATTACATTTTGGTTCCTACATTTCCCTTTACAAATTGATGATTTGATGCATCAGATCACTCCGATTGACGATTATTCGAAAGAAGGATCATACTTATCAATGATCAGAAACTTTTGGCCAAGATAGGGCGATTTCATAGATCATCATCGTATTACGAAAACAGCTGAGATGCTCCAAATGTGTCAAGTCGAAGCTGGAATGCACACTTTTTTACGCAATTAAAGCCCTGGTACAGGATAGTCGCATTTACAAAACGCTTTGTGCACTATTTGTGTTGTGAGTGTTAAAACTTGAATCTTAATTATTCGATTTTATCATCAACAAAATGGAACGGAAAACCGCAATTGTCCAAACAAACTGAAAGCTATAAATCATTGCAACTACAGGAAGTTATACAAGTATTTCGTTTTTAATATATATTCAAGTTAACCAAAACTGCAGCCGGTCTTTACAAGTGGTTATTAAAACATACTTTTGGGGGAACTGACGAGCGAATGTTACTGAAAATATGATTTTGTAGCATTCCATTTACTTATAAACTGAATTCACTGACACAAAAAAGTAGGACCTCTCAATATCCCGTCACAATACCGTAAAAATACCTGCGTGCTTTACGTCCCGCTTTCATCGACACCGTGACAGCTGATGCCCTTGAACTCAAATTGAAACTGGTCCGTTCGTAAAACAGGTTACAAAAATAATTTATCAGTGGTTTTATTAAATTATCTGAAACTTCTTCTGTAGAGGAACAATACCCACTGCGACTCAGACAAAGTAATATCATGTAAAGCTTCAAACTGTTTGAATTTTAGATTTGGAATTGCGCCGATCATCTCAACTATATAATGCAGTGAGACACAACCGATTGAATGCGACAGAGGTGCAGCGCAATCCCAAGTCCTCTTCGCTGTCGCATTTGCAATATCTTCTCAACTAAAACAATTCGGTTCCTTTTCCAGAGGCGTGTGGATTGTTTCTTGATATCTGGGACTTGTTGTATGATGGATCCTATATGATATATATTTACATAGATATATATACATTTAAATAAAATTTATTGCGATTTATCCTACAACTGACTACACGAACAGTGCCACTCTCTTATCCCAAATGTCACTACAGACTACAAGGCTTTTTTTAATGGTGATAATCTGTACATTCTTCAGATTGAAAAAGTCTTAACAATTATATCTCGGGTTAATAAAATGGTAAAAAGGATACTTTAATTGCATCTGAACCCGGATTTGAAGAAAAAGTAAATCTTTGACCAGAATAAGTGGTCGAAATTTTTTTTGCTGGATTATGTTCAACGCGGTCCTTTTATGTGGTTTGTTTGCAATTCACACTGAACCAACGGGCCACATCCGATCGTTTTTGCGACATCAAACTTCAAAATCAGTAAACACACGCTCTTTGGACATGTTTATGTGTTTGTTTCTTCTGTTGATTGGTCTGTTATCTATTTGTTTGTATGTGTTCTGATAGGCCGTGAAAGGAGTCGGAGATAATTGTGTGTAAAGACCGCGACCGCGTGTTAATGTTTGTACAGGACTTTACAAGAACATTTCTTCTCGTTTAATTTACAATAAAACGCGTTCTGAGTGGTACTTGAGATTTGTTCTCAACTTTGACAAAAAGTGTATGCTTTCAACTTTGATATTGGAATTATTACTACTTTCATTTTTTCATAAAATAACCAGTTAATCCGAAAAAACTACCACAAAAATAGTGTGTCGAACGCTTGAAACCTTTCTAGCCCAAACCAATCACTAAGTGACGAAGACAATTTAAAACCCCAAGAAATAAATTGCTCAACATTTTCTTCCTTCACTGAACCCGTTCCCACTCCAAGCTCATAGCTGGCCTCACATACTCTCTCATCGGTTGAGAATTTGTCATGTTTCTCACCAAATATTGAATGACAAGCCGGCAACACGCTCTCTCCGTGTCACCGATAGCCCCTGTCACCTTGTAGAGATTACACCGTGATAGCACCAATAGAGAGCAAACAGTCAGATAACACGGGACATGTGACAGCTTCTGACTGCTGGCATGACAGAGAGAGAGAGAGAGAAAGAGAGAGAGAGAGAGAGGGAGAGTAATACTACACATGGAGACAAATCCGACTTGTAGAGCCTCTACTGGAGGGTGGGAAACATTTCTTAAACTATAAGAACTTAAAGACATTTTGCAGCAAAATGAGTAAAGCACAATATAATTTAAAGTGATTCATGAAAATGTGGGTAAAATAACTGTAGCTGGGTAGCAGTTAATGCAGGGATAAGTTAACGAAAACGAGAACCATTATTGAGAATATAAGAAGGGCACATTTTTTCTTTTTTTTTTTTAATTTTTTTTCCATTTTTTTAATTTTATTTATTTTTCTTTTTAAAAAGATGCTTCTCTCTAATTTGTTAGCTCTTACATTCTTTCAATAACAATTGTCACCAGTTTCCATTTTTAGGTTCTGCTCCGCAGAGTAATCTATTTTGCCTCCATATTTTGCATTAAATTTGATGTTATAAATACACAAAATAGGCGGGAATTTTGTGCCACAGGGAAGACCCTTCAGATATTTTAATCGGATTTCTAAAACGATTTGCAATCTGCGTTATTTTCTTATAAATATTTTTGTATATTTATATTTTACTTTGATATATCCATTTTACAGGTGACATGTATTAGTTTTGGGGAGTAGGGATCCAAGTAGTTTGCACAGAAATTAGAATTCAAAGAGGTGAATCCTTTAAGTCGGTTCTGTTCATTATTTTGAATATCTTTTTTTATTCTTGTGAAATTCATTCTAAAACTTTCTTTAAACTTCCATTTTTCCTAGCCACCAGACAGGGTTAATATTAGTCACAGTATTGGCGGATAATCTTGTCCAGCGCCACACGCAAAAGCACTTCTAAGTCAGAAAAACAATGCTATTAATAGGAAATAATCAGGGAATTTTGGCTCAAAGTTGTGAATCCTTGCGGGTCGTTATGCAACAATTTCCATTTTCTTCATTGATTTGGTTTTCTGCTGACAATGGCGTAGTTATATTGATTCCTTAGGCCTTATTTCGTCAGAGTTGGGATGGGGCAAAAGCCTCCCCATCTTCATTTTTCAACGTTAATAAATACATTATCAATATAAATAGCACTCACAAACACGCTGCACAGTTGTGTTCCCATTCTTACTGAGACAATTTTACATTTGTGAAATGCTTGAAATAAATAACAGCAAATGGAAAAGAAATGCACATGCAACTTTATTGTTTCCAATATAATAAAACATATGCATGTTTGCATTGATGTACAAGTATGCACTAGGGCGGCTAGCGCCGATTTTAGCGGTATTTTCATACAGGCAAGTATAAAAAGAAAATAATATTTTTATAAAATACCACTCTTCAATATATCGAATTCAGAACCTTTCTAAAACATTACGTCAAAATTAAGTATCTACGATACTCATTCTATTTTAGTTCTAATCAAACGTAACTTAACAGTTGACTTATACAACTAAGCTGTGCATAATTACAAAATCACAAACGTAATCATATACTTTTTTTTGGAAAATCAAATCGACATTTACGGAACAATAGAATTTGAATCATCCAAGTAAAATGGCTCTCATAATAATGTTTATCAAGTTATAATTTGTTATACGCGTATTGCACGACCTCCCGGGACGACTTGGTAACCCAGGAAACACAGAGCGTTATTATAACGCTACCATAACGTTTTATTGTTATATTAACGCCATGGAAACGTTATGGTAACGTTATATGTTTACTGGGAACGACATTGTTACTGAAGGTTACTACTTCTCAGAAAGAAAACTAAAAATTAACCCTGTTAGTTACCCAATTAAACTACAAGTTTTAAAATAGAGAAGAAAGCACTTTTATCAACAAAAAACCAGGATATAGTGTCTACATATAGTCAATTAATAAAATCATTTCTTTAAAAAAATTTACAAGAATTATCTGTGGTGCAATCAAATACACCTGCGTTCATTAATACGGTATCAATTTAGATTCACATCAATATTTGCCACCGTGTCTCTGACAGTTTTATTTGTTCAACATTTCTTTGTGACAATGTTTCGTTTTCGTCATACAGCTATAATAATAATAATAATAATAATAATAATAATAATAATAATAATAATAATAATAATAATAATAATATTCTTTACAAACTTAGAAAAATGTTTAAAGGACGGAGAATGATAAGGCGTTCTCTTAAATAAAATTTTAAAAATATACAACAAACAATTCACTTCAGTAATTAAGACACGTCCACTCAAGGCACTGGTAATGCAGATTATTTATATCGAGCTCTGAGTTCACATGGGCTACTTATCTTTGGACAATAGTGAGACATTGTAAGTTACACGTTTTTAGATGACTAGAAACTAAAATCTTTGCCGTTCTGCAAATGACAAGCTAATAATTTCTAAAAATACTTTTTTTGAATTGATACAAATGATTAGTTGTAGAATGCATTGCCAAAATAAGAAATTATTACAGAGAATGTGAGGTACAAAGTTACTATGTCTTTTGAAAACATATCTTTTTTATCAGAAATACTTTATGTCTACGTTTTGACATTTTTTTATCAAGTGATCCGTCGAACTATTTCGGCAAAAAATATCCAAATAAAAATTTTAATTTATTTTCGGTCACATGATGCACGTTTTGTAATGTTTTAAAGAGAAGAAACTGCGAGTAGTCGCACTACATCGCCTTTTATAACATGCAAAACGCTTATTTCTGAAATAATAAAGCAAACGGCGCAGACTCACAGAACGAGCAGACAACAAAATCACTTTCAACACACATATTTGACAGACCTAACAGACAAATGTCGTTCCTGACTGAAAGCACATTGAAGAAGGGACAATTTTATAAAAGAAAAAAAAATCAAAAAGTCAAGATTAGGCACGGGCCTAACCTGGAATATTAAAACTACTCGGTCAAATCAACTAAAATAAGGCAAATTTATGCCTTACATTAAATCAATTATAATTAAATTGAATATTCTCTATTTTTATCAAAATGTCCAAAGATCCTTCTTCATATAGACTAGCATCGATTCGCTCAAATTTTAAGAAGATCAAATTTTATGGTTCAAAAATTTTATGACTGAATATCATTTGCAAAGCAGTCCCTAGAAGCACAAAACACCTATTTTATCATACAATATATGTTAGAAGATAGGTAAATAACAAGATGTGAGTCTTCTTAAAAGAGCAACAGTTCTGAACACTCAACAAAGTAAAAGCGGCAGCCTGAGACAGCGTTATTTAACAAACCTGGAGAATGACGACCCCAGGGGGTACAGCGACTGGGAGTTGGTGTCCGCGTAGCTGGGGGTCTGCCACTGGTTATTACACGGCGGCGGAGGGTTGTACATCCCGGAGTTACAGGAGGGGGGCGGCGGAGGGGGCGCGTTGTTCAAAGAGCACGTGTTGGAATACCCTGTGTTGTTGACGCCGTTGTGGTACCACTTCATGAAAGGGTTGTTCATACTTTGCCTCAAGAGGACCTCGTCCAGCCGGTATGCACGCCGCTCGGCCTCCGTGTACGGGGAGTAGATGGAGCTGAGAGCGGCTGCCGGGTTGAAGGAGACGGACGGAGAGAGGGGAGCGCCTGGACCGCCCATGTAACCGTTATGCATGGCGAACTCGCAGTCCTTTTTTCTCCCGCGGCGACGGGAACGGCGCCTCTGACGAAAGTCTCCGCGCATGAAGTCCTGGAGGTTGGCCGGGTGGATGCTCCAGTAGTTGCCTTTGCCATCCTCACAGCGTCCCGCTTTAATAAAACAGTCGTTTAGGGAGAGGTTATGGCGGACGCTGTTTCTCCACCCCTGACCCCGGTTTTTAAAATAAGGGAAATGTTTCTCAATCCAGTTATAAATGGAGCCCAGGCTTAGCCTCTTTTCCGCGCTTTCTAAAATTGATTTGGCAATAAGGGCGATGTACGACAGGGGCGGCTTTTGGTCTGAGGGTTGTTCTTTAGTCTTCTCCTCTGGTTTGTCCAGAGATTGCAGAGCTTCCTCTTCGGCGTTCCCCGCGTTCCCTTCGTTGGAAACCACAGCAGACGTCGCAATGTCGCCTCCATTTTTCTCAGTCGACGTCACTTGCGGGGTGTCGTCTGCTACGCTGTTCTGTTCGTCTGCAGTGGAATTCTCGTGCTTGCAGTCGTCTGCCTTCATTTCTGGCGGTGCAGGATTGCTGAGGATATGCGTCTGTTCGACAGAGACCTCACTCCCGTAGCCCTGTATTCCAGTCACAGGTTTCGAGTCTGCATAATAGGATTGTTTTTGATCTGAAAGCACAGGAGAATTTGTCCCGAACACGTTGAAATCGTTCCAGCCGCCGCCTCCTCCCAGCTTATAATAAGACGTGCTAGAGTTTGGAATGGGCTGCAATGGCGGGGAGGCAGCACAGATCATCGTGGACTCCGAGTAACTCGGAGGAGCTCGGCTCATTCCGAGACAGCTGCTGAATGCGTCGCCGAGCTCGGGGCTGTGTGGGAGCTTCATGGCGGGATCAAACATGTCCGTCGGGCGGTAGAGGGAGGACTGGTACTGGGCTGGGGGAGCGGCCTGGAAGCAAGAGCCTTGCATCGTCGTAAACTGCATTGTTGTCCACAAACCTGGAGTTAAAGCAGAAGTGTCAGACAGCGGTCATTTCTGTTTTTCGAGCTGAAACGTTCAATGAAAGTAGCCGTCTGCTCAAGTTCTCCTCTAGAACTGTTCCAATGATGGCGACTAGAGATGGGATATATATGTGTGCACACCTTTGCTACTGAATCGCTCTGCGTGTGCTACCTAAACATTGGATTAGATTGAGAATTAACCAGCTAATAATCTCAACGATTTTAAATATTTGATCTCTCCTCTTGGGCTTTGGCATTGATGGAATTCCGTCTTCTGATTGGCCGAAAGTTGGTCGCCTATCCCGCACTTGACACGTCAATCAAGAGGGATATGTCCTCCTAAATTCGTGTTTAAAAGTGTTTGATTACGATAATTGCTAAGATGTGCCGAAGTCTGGGGCAACAAACACATAGACGGAAGCGAAGAAGGTGACAGCGCTGAGAAAGTTTCTTTTCTTTTTTCTCCGTGATTCCCATCGCTGTCCCGGGACTTTTTTATTTTCATTTTCTTCCCTTTGCTAGTATTCTTTATTTAGCAATCAATGCATACTACGTATTTTCTCTTTTTTGAAAAAAAAATACATATGTTTGTTTGTATCTCCAAAATTAAATTTCATTTAACAATTATTTACTGCTCTACCGTGACCAGTTAGAACAAAACAACCCATGAGCATACCTGACATACACGTACGCACGCAAGTACGCGCACACACGCACACTCACCAGCATTTCTGTCCTTGAAAACAACAGAAGTCAGATTACAACCATAATGAGATGCAGTGTGTTTGTTCTAGCAGGTTGCTGTTGACACTGGGTCTATCTATAACAGAGATAATGTGACAGATTGTCTTGTACCAGTTTGTTGGAAGTTCGGATGGTCAAATGATAGGAAATGATAAATACTGACAGGGTTAATCCGACTACGAATTAAGACGTATGGAAGGCGAACGCTCTGCAAATACAGATTTGAGGAAAGTTTCTAGCTGCCTTTTCGAAAATTGCAAGTCCTAGATAATTTCACATTTAGCCCCCCTACTACTGCTCTTCTATTTTTAACATACTTCTGCGGTACTTCCACCATAATTTTGTCAAATTTTAATTTATAATCATCATAAGTTAAAGAATAGCCAAAACTTGTCATATATAAAGTTTTGTGTTGAGCTGTTTTTGAAAATGAAATCTTAGAAAGTCTAAAACTTAAACATTTAACAGCAAAGCATCACTTCACCTACAATAGAACTTCACCAACTTCAGTCAGTCGACTTGTGTTTAATCAAACGACTCTACAAGCCCCAAATCTGCGTGTAATATGCCTTGTCTAGCTTTAAAGAGATATAAACTGCGAGATTAAGCGCACTTCGGGCGATCAGTCTCTTTGAACCCCCTCAATGAACAGTTAAGACAACTACCCACTCTAAGTGAGACCGCAAAGACAAAGAGACGATACCTGATGGACTTAACTTCGCGTTTGAAGTCACCGACGTTGAAAATGGGTGCATCAAAATGACTACTCGTGGGAAATATAACGCCTATTATTTTGCAATTAATTAATTTGTAACATAATGATAAGAACAACTTCCTACTCGAGTGGATAGGCCGAGGATAAACAAGGAATTTTGTGACATGATTTGGTGCAAGGAGTAGCACTGAATCAATGATAAAGTTGATTTTGGGGCGTTTACCCAGGTTCCCAATGTTCATTTTACACTGCATAATTGTGCTAATTTTTTTTCATGTTTATTTGTGTTATAATGTATATAATTATACTGGTTTATCTCACCCACGTTCTTCTAAACCTTTGCCATTTGACTTTATTTATTTCTTCTTGCTGTAATTCGCGTTGAATATACACGTCTATATGAAAACATCGTATTTATTTTTCTATAATAAATATTGCTGCAGAACACTTTGTCTCTTGTTCCCATCCATTCACGTCTACTAAATAAATATTTATAAATATCAGTAATAAAATGTAGACTTGATAAAACTAGAAAAACCAGTGAGTGCACCAAAGACACCGACCTCCGTCAAGGAAAGAGGCAATCATTGAGAAGGAATACCTGTCAATTCTTTCTCTCCTGACAACGTTGACCTGTCTGCCTTGACATTTTTATGACATTTTGGTGACAGTATTATTGTAATAGGTAATATCTCAAGAATTAGTAATGTGAATGTCAATGTGTGTGTTCAGTTGTTTTGTGTGTTTTAAATTTTGAATGTTGAAGAAAAATATTTTGCAGGGGGTAAAAGTAAAGGGCTATTTATTTTGTTAGATGTTTATACTTCTCAAACCTACAAACAAAATTGCTGAACGATTAGACATAAAATACACGTTGCATATGGACTAAACTTTTATTGCAAATCAATACAAGTATATCATGTAGTTTTCTAGAATTAGTACTCTAATTGTTAATTTCAAATGCCATCAAACATAATTCTCTCGCGAAAGACTTCAGATTCTTTTTTTTTCATGAAATATTGGATTTTATATTTACATAATATAAAATATAACATGGATTCATTATCAAGGTAAATGCCGTTATTTTCTTTTTACGTCTTTGTATAATTTCCATGCATCATGAGAGTTCTTTTAATATCCTAAAATCTCATTCGGTCCACTCCACCCACGTTTCACAGCCAAAAGGAGCGGAATTCTCGCAAACACCTCCAACTTCTAAAGAGGCCGCCATGTTATTTTTTCACCGGGTAAATTCCACGATTAACATAATATCCTAAAACATTGTATATGAGCATGTATCTAGTCCAAGTCAAGTACAAAGTTTACGGGAGTCAAAATATAAGCTCGGCATTACCCAATACAAGTTGTTTAAAGACGTCTGACTTAAGACGGTTATCGAACGCAGAGCCTCCTTATCCCATCCCGGGACGCGGATGATCTGGAAGAGATTACTTAATGAAGTTCCTATCTTGAACAGTTAATCATATGCCAATACTACGCGGTGGTTGCAATGATAGAGTTGTCTGGAGGTGGCTGGAGGGGAGGTAAACAACCCCCCTTTGTCAACAAATCGGTGTTTAGAGGGATATTATACCGCAATCATTACGCGGACACATTGTGGACAATGGAGATGTTTGACCACGACAACTGATAGGACATGAGCAGACGATCTTTGTACTCGGGCCGAAATAAATGCTGACCGGTTTGTTTTAAATTAATGCACAGAAATCCAAGTTGGCATATAAACAGACTTCAAACAAAGGAATCCCAAGAAAAAGATCTAATGATAATTGGCAAGATAGGTGGAGAAATACTTTTAATTTTATTTTTCAATGTCAGTAAGCATAATGCATTTGTTAAGGCTGAACGGCCTTTTTTTTTTTTTGTAAAATGCGACGACACTTCATTGAGCCATATGTAAAGTTAAAGGTGAAATAATACATTTGTAATGAGATAACGCATGGGAAATATGCATTATTGAAAATATGAAAGCCTCTGTAACGGAATGTGATGCCGCATTTAAATAGCTGTGTTTTCCGAAATATTGGTCAGTGCGACTTCCTTAAGCAGCAGGCCGACGTAAATTTTTGTAAAATAAATAAATAAATAAATAAACAAATGATCGTTAATATTTAAAATTAAGAAAATAAACGTCGAAAAAAGTACCCTTTCTTTTAAATAAAATAAGTTTTACGTACCATTCCCTTTATGAAATTCGGTAGGTAGAAGTTGATAAAGGTCTTCAAGAACAATCTATTGAAAAAAGGCAGGGTAGGGGGCCATGTTCAGCTGTCATGATTTCATTCACATAATAACAATTAAAAAAGTGAAAATTAATGAAATGACAAATGACAATTTGGTTGAACGTCTGAATATTTATTTGTTTATTTTATTTCTAATTTTCATGACACGTAATCCTTATATATGTTGTTTTGCATTTTTTCATTATAGAACCCAAAGAAGTAAGGTCTCAACGAGAAAGTGAAAAAAATTCTCGATACTGTACTTTTTGCAATAAATATTATTAATCATACTCCAATTTCTTCATAGAATTGACATTATAAATGATCGAAGACAATGAACGAAGGGGAAAATCCGTCAATATATTCTTGATGATTAGGAGAATTTATTAGCATACAAATATAGCATATTAATAATTTCAACAAAATATAAAATGTTGCTTAAAATCTGACCTTTATTATGCGTCACATAACTAGTTGTCATTTAACGGCTCATTTCACATTCATTGAGTGAATAGTTAGTCATTACTTAGGAATTCGGGACAACTTAGAGCGAATCCAACAGCCGATAAGACTGGTATAAGACTTGCACAGGAGGAGGAGGAGGGGCGGGGTCACCTCTTTATCAATCTTAGTGACAATATCGTCGAATCCAGCTCATCCCTCACATTGACAATCTCGGCAGAATACCTGACATTCCCTTACATCTGCGGCGTCAGTCACAGGGCACGTAAATCGATGGTCTTTAACACAAGAGACAGATAAATACCTAAGTAATAGACAGGCTGTAAATACGTTATTTACTCAGAGGTTTTACGGCCTTAGCTATCCGGACATGCGTCAATAAAGACGGTGGGAAAGCATGGTAAACTTCCCCATGATGTGGGAGACTGCTCCTCCTTCCCCGGGAAATAACAACAGACGATGACACACTGACAATGCGTGTGCGCGCGTGCGTGTGCGCGAGAGTGTGAATGTTTGAGAGACGGGGGTTAGCAAGAAGGGGGGATATAGAGCATAGCTTTTTATGACGTTTGAGATTANAATAATAATAATAATAATAATAATAATAATAATAATAATAATAATATTCTTTACAAACTTAGAAAAATGTTTAAAGGACGGAGAATGATAAGGCGTTCTCTTAAATAAAATTTTAAAAATATACAACAAACAATTCACTTCAGTAATTAAGACACGTCCACTCAAGGCACTGGTAATGCAGATTATTTATATCGAGCTCTGAGTTCACATGGGCTACTTATCTTTGGACAATAGTGAGACATTGTAAGTTACACGTTTTTAGATGACTAGAAACTAAAATCTTTGCCGTTCTGCAAATGACAAGCTAATAATTTCTAAAAATACTTTTTTTGAATTGATACAAATGATTAGTTGTAGAATGCATTGCCAAAATAAGAAATTATTACAGAGAATGTGAGGTACAAAGTTACTATGTCTTTTGAAAACATATCTTTTTTATCAGAAATACTTTATGTCTACGTTTTGACATTTTTTTATCAAGTGATCCGTCGAACTATTTCGGCAAAAAATATCCAAATAAAAATTTTAATTTATTTTCAGTCACATGATGCACGTTTTGTAATGTTTTAAAGAGAAGAAACTGCGAGTAGTCGCACTACATCGCCTTTTATAACATGCAAAACGCTTATTTCTGAAATAATAAAGCAAACGGCGCAGACTCACAGAACGAGCAGACAACAAAATCACTTTCAACACACATATTTGACAGACCTAACAGACAAATGTCGTTCCTGACTGAAAGTACATTGAAGATGGGACAATTTTATAAAAGAAAAAAATCAAGTCAAGATTAGGCACCGGCCTAACCTAGAATATTCAAACTGCTCGGTCAAACCAACTAAAATAAGGCAAATTTATGCCTTACATTAAATCAATTATAATTAAATTGAATATTCTCTATTTTTATCAAAATGTCCAAAGATCCTTCTTCATATAGACTAGCATCGATTCGCTCAAATTTTAAGAAGATCAAATTTTATGGTTCAAAAATTTTATGACTGAATATCATTTGCAAAGCAGTCCCTAGAAGCATAAAACACTTATTCTATCATACAATATATGATAGAAAATAGGTAAATAACAAGATGTGAGTCTTCTTTAAAGAGCAACAGTCCTGAACACTCAACAAAGTAAAAGCGGAAGGCTGAGGCAGCGTTATTTAACAAACCTGGAGAATGACGACCCCAGGGGGTAGAGCGACTGGGAGTTGGTGTCCGCGTAGCTGGGGGTCTGCCACTGGTTATTACACGGCGGCGGTGGGTTGTACATCCCGGAGTTACACGAGGGGGGCGGCGGAGGGGGCGCGTTGTTCAAAGAGCACGTGTTGGAATACCCTGTGTTGTTGACGCCGTTGTGGTACCACTTCATGAAAGGGTTGTTCATACTTTGCCTCAAGAGGACCTCGTCCAGCCGGTATGCACGCCGCTCGGCCTCCGTGTACGGGGAGTAGATAGAGCTGAGGGCGGCTGCCGGGTTGAAGGAGACAGACGGGGAGAGGGGAGCGCCCGGACCGCCCATGTAACCATTATGCATGGCGAATTCGCAGTCCTTCTTTCTCCCACGGCGACGGGAACGACGCCGCTGACGGAAGTCTCCGCGCATGAAGTCCTGGAGGTTGGCCGGGTGGATGCTCCAGTAGTTGCCTTTGCCATCCTCACAGCGTCCCGCCTTAATAAAACAGTCATTTAAAGAGAGATTATGGCGGACGCTGTTTCTCCACCCTTGGCCCCGGTTTTTAAAATAAGGGAAATGTTTCTCTATCCAGTTATAAATGGAGCCCAGGCTCAGCCTCTTTTCCGCGCTTTCTAAAATTGATTTGGCAATGAGGGCGATGTAAGACAAGGGCGGTTTTTGGTCTGAGGGTTGTTCTTTAGTCTTCTCCTCTGGTTTGTCCAGAGATTGCAGAGCTTCCTCTTCGGCGTTACCCGCGTTCCCTTCGTTGGAAACCACAGCAGAAGACGCAATGTCGCCTCCATTTTTCTCAGTCGACGTCACTTGCGGGGTGTCGTCTGCTACGCTGTTCTGTTCGTCTGCGGTGGAAGTCTCGTGCTTGCAGTCTTCTGTCTTCATTTCTGGCGGTGCAGGATTGCTGAGGATATGTGTCTGTTCGACAGAGACCTCACTCCCGTAGCCCTGTATTCCCGACACAGGTTTCGAGTCTGCATAATAGGACTGTTTTTGATCTGCAAGCACTGGAGAATTTGTCCCGAACACGTTGAAGTCGTTCCATCCGCCGCCTCCTCCCAGCTTATAGTAAGACGTGCTAGAGTTTGGAATGGGCTGCAATGGCGGGGAGGCAGCACAGATCATCGTGGACTCCGAGTAACTCGGAGGGGCTCGGCTCATTCCGAGACAGCTGCTGAATGCGTCACCGAGCTCGGGGCTGTGTGGGAGCTTCATGGCGGAATCAAACATGTCCGTCGGGCGGTAGAGGGAGGTCTGGTACTGGGCTGGGGGAGCGGCCTGGAAGCACGAACCTTGCATCGTCGTAAACTGCATTGTTGTCCACGTACCTGGAGTTAAAGCAGAAGTGTCAGACAGCGTTCATTTCTGTTTTTCGAGCTGAAACGTTCAATGAAAGTAGCCGTCTGCTCAAGTTCTCCTCTAGAACTGCTCCAATGATGGCGACTAGAGATGGGATATATATGTGTGCACACCTTTGCTACTGAATCGCTCTGCGTGTGCTACCTAAACATTGGATTAGATTGAGAATTAACCAGCTAATAATCTCAACGATTTTAAATATTTGATCTCTCCTCTTGGGCTTTGGCATTGATGGAATTCCGTCCTCTGATTGGCCGAAAGTTGGTCGCCTATCCCGCACTTGACACGTCAATCAAGAGGGATATGTCCTCCTAAATTCGTGTTTAAAAGTGTTTGATTACGATAATTGCTAAGATGTGCCGAAGTCTGGGGCAACAAACACATAGACGGAAGCGAAGAAGGTGACAGCGCTGAGAAATTTTCTTTTCTTTTTTCTCCGTGATTCCCGTCGCTATCCCGGGACTTTTTTATTTTCGTTTTCTTCCCTTTGCTAGTATTCTTTATTTAGCAATCAAAGCATACTACGTATTTTCTCTTTTTTGAAAAAGAAGGTTATATGTTGATTTGTATCTTCACAATGAAATTTCATTCATACAATTATTCACTGTTCTACCAGTTAGAACAATACAACCCATGAGCATACCTGACATACACGTACGCACGCAAGTACGCGCACACACGCACACTCACCAGCATTCCTGTCCTTGAAAACAACAGAAGTCAGATTACAACCATAATGAGATGCAGTGTGTTTGTTCTAGCAGGTTGCTGTTGACACTGGGTCTATCTATAACAGAGATAATGTGACAGATTGTCTTGTACCAGTTTGTTGGAAGTTCGGATGGTCAAATGATAGGAAATGATAAATACTGACAGGGTTAATCCGACTACGAATTAAGACGTATGGAAGGCGAACGCTCTGCAAATACAGATTTGAGGAAAGTTTCCAGCTGCCTTTTCGAAAATTGCAAGTCCTAGATAATTTCACATTTAGGCCCCCTACTACTGCTCTTCTATTTTTAACATACTCCTGCGGTACTTCCTCCATAATTTTGTTAAATTTTGATTTATAATCATCATAAGTTAAAGAATAGCCAAAACTTGTCAAGCATAAAGTTTTGTTTTGAGCTGTTTTTGAAAATGAAATCTTAGAAAGTTTAAAACTAAAACATTTAACAGCAAAGCATCACTTCACCTACAATAGAACTTCACCAACTTCAGTCAGTCGACTTGTGTTTAATCAAACGACTCTACAAGCCCCAAATCTGCGTGTAATATACCTTGTCTAGCTTTAAAGAGATATAAACTGCGAGATTAAGCGCACTTCGGGCGATCAGTCTCTTTGAACCCCCTCAACGAACTGTTAGGACAACTCCCCACTCTAAGTGAGACCGCTAAGACAAAGAGACGATACCTGATGGACTTAACCCCGCGTTTGAAGTCACCGACGTTGAAAATGGGTGCATCAGAATGATTACTCGTGGGAAATATAACGCCTATTATTTTGCAATTAATTAATTTGTAACATAATGATAAGAACAACTTCCTACTCGAGTGGATAGGCCGAGGATAAACAAGGAATTTTGTGACATGATTTGGTGCAAGAAGTATCACTGAATCAATGATAAAGTTGATTTTGGGGCGTTTATCCCCGTTCCCAATGTTCATTTTACACTGCATAATTGTGCTAACTTATTTTTTTCATGTTTATTTGTGTTATAATGTATGTAATTATACTGGTTTATCTCACCTACGTTCTTCTAAACCTTTGCCATTTGACTTTATTTATTTCTTCTAGCTGTAATTCGCATTGAATATACACATGTTTATATGAAAACATCGTATTTATTTTTCTGTAATAAATATTGCTGCAGAACACTTTGTCTCTTGTTCCCATCTATTCACGTCTACTAAATAAATATTTACAAATATAAGTAATAAAATGTAGACTTGATAAAACTAGAAAAATCAGTAAGTGCACCAAAGACACCGACCTCCGTTAAGGAAAGAGGCAATCATTGAAAAGGAATACCTGTCAATCCTTTCTCTCCTGACAACGTTGACCTGTCTGCCTTGACATTTTCATGACATTTTGGTGACAGTATTGTTATAGGTAATATCTCACGAATTAGTAATGTGGATGCCAATGTGTGTGTTCAGTTGTTTTGTGTGTTTTTAATTTTGAATGTTGAAGAAAAATATTTTGCAGGGGGTAAAAGTAAAAGGACTATTTATTTTGCTAGATGTTTATACCTCTCAAGCCGACGAACAAAATTTACTTTACGATTAGACGTAGAATAACACGTTGCATATGGACTAAACTTTAATTGCAAATCAATACAGGTATATTATGTAGTTTTCTAGAATTAGTACTCTAACAGTTAATTTCAATGTAAATGCCATCAAACAATTCTCTTGCGAAAGATTTCAGATTCTTTTTTTTTTTTTTCATGAAATATGGGATTTTATATTTACATCAAAATAAAATATATATAACATAGATTCATTATCAAGATAAATGCCGTTATTTACTTTTTACGTCTTTGTATAATTTCCATGCATCATGAGAGTTCTTTCAATATCCTAAAATCTCATTCGGTCCACTCTACCCACGTTTCACAGCCTAGGTAAGGGGGGTTCTCGCAACCACCTCCAACTTCTAAAGAGGCCGCCATGTTATTTTTTCACCGGGTAAATTCCACGATCAACATAATATCCTAAAACATTGTATATGAGCATGTATCTAGTCCAAGTCAAGTACAAAGTTTACCGGAGTCAAAATATAAGCTCGGCATTACCCAATACAAGTTGTTTAAAGACGTCTGACTTAAGACGGTTATCGAACGCAGAGCCTCCTTATCCCATCCCGGGACGCGGATGATCTGGAAGAGATTACTTAATGAAGTTCCTATCTTGAACAGTTAATCATATGCCAATACTACGCGGTGGTTGCAATGATAGAGTTGTCTGGAGGTGGCTGGAGGGGAGGTAAACAACCCCCCTTTGTCAACAAATCGGTGTTTAGAGGGATATTATACCGCAATCATTACGCGGACACATTGTGGACAATGGAGATGTTTGACCACGACAACTGATAGGACATGAGCAGACGATCTTTGTACTTGGGCCGAAATAAATGCTGACCGGTTTGTTTTAAATTAATGCACATAAATCCAAGGCTGGCATATATGCAGACTTCAAACATAGAAATCCCAAGAAACAGATCTAATGATAATTGGCAAGATAGGTGGAGAAATACTTTTAATTTTATTTTTCAATGTCAATAAGCAAAATGCATTTGTTAAGGCTGAACGGCCTTTTTTTTTCTTTTTTTTTTTGTAAAATGCAACGATACTTTATTGAGCCATATGGTAAGTTAAAGGTGACATAATACATTTGTAATGACATAACGCATGGGAAATATGCATTATTGAAAATATGAAAGCCACTGTAACGGAATGTAATGCCGCATTTAAATAGCTGTGTTTTCCGAAAAATTGATCAGTGCGACTTCCTTAAGCAGCAGGCCGACGTAAATTTTTGTAAAACATAAATAAATAAATAAATAAATAAATAAATCGTTAATATTTAAAATTAAGAAAATAAACGTCGAAAAAATGTACCCTTTCTTTCGATTAAAATTAGGTTTACGTACCATTCGCTTCATGAAATTTGGTAGGTAGAAGTTGATAAAGGTCTTCAAGAACAACCTATTGAAAACAGGACAAGGACGGGGGCCATGTTCAGCTGTCATGATTTCATTCACCTAGTAACAATTTAAAAAGTTAAAATTAATGAAATGCCAAATGACAATTTGGTTGAACGTCTGAATATTTATTTGTTTATTTTATTTCTGATTTTCATGACACGTAATCCTTATGTATGTTGTTTTGCATTTTTTCATTATAGAACCCAAATAAGTTGGGTCTCAACGAGAAAGTGAAAAAAATTCTCGATACTGTACTTTTCGCAATAAATATTATTAATCATACTCCAATTTCTTCATAGAATTGACATTATAAATGATCGAAGACAATGAACGAAGGGGAAAATCCGTCAATATATTTTTGATGATTAGGAGAATTTATTAGCATATAAATATAGCATATTAATAATTTCAACAAAATATAAAATGTTGCTTAAAATCTGACCTTTCTTATGCGTCACATAACTAGTTGTCATTTAACTGTTCATTTCACATATTACATTCATTGAGTGAATAGTTAGTCATTACTTAGGAATTCGGGACAACTTAGAGCGAATCTAACAGCCGATAAGACTGGTATAAGACTTGCACAGGAGGAGGAGGAGGGGCGGGGTCACCTCTTTATCAATCTTAGTGACAATATCGACGAATCCAGCTCATCCCTCACGTTGACAATCTCGGCAGAATACCTGGCATTCCCTTACATCTGCGGCGTCAGTCACTGGGCACGTAAATCGATGGTCTTTAACACAAGAGACAGATAAATACCTAAGTAATAGACAGGCTGTAAATACGTTATTTACTCAGAGGTTTTACGGCCTTAGCTATCCGGCCATGCGTCAATAAAGACGGTGGGAAAACATGGTAAACTTCCCCATGATGTGGGAGACTGCTCCTCCTTCCCGGGAAATAACAACAGACGATGACACACTGACAATGCGTGTGCGCGCGTGCGTGTGCGCGAGAGTGTGAATGTTGGAGAGACGGGGGTTAGCAAGAAGGGGGGGTATAGAGCATAGCTTTTTATGACGTTTGAGACTAACATGACCATCAGGAGTCAATTCTGATTCTATAAATCTGGTTGGGTCAAAGTCATCATTTATATATAAATGGCCATCGTAAAATATTGCACAACTGAAAATAATAATTTCGATCGTAATCTGCCCAAATCAGTTGCAGGACATTAAAGTTGTGTGCAAGTATTGTGGGACTACGTATCAATAACAGATATAGCATTTACCTTGATTGAACGCTGCTCAAATCGCACTTCAAGGGTCACTGTTGAGTGCGTGAGATTTGTGGTTTAGAATAGGGGAAAACGTACGTGAGAAAAACGCAAGCCAATAACTTCACACCTAGTGGCAGTCAAACAACCTGACAGTTCACCAAGACCTGGCTTGATGCGAGAGAGGGCGGGGGGCGGGGGGGGGGGGGGGGGGGGAGGGGGG